ATTAAGCAACTACATAACTATTCTAATTTTCGTTTTCCTTCTATTTTATTTTAACTACAAATATGAAAATCATTTTTGTTTGTGAAAGTTTATTTGAAATTTGTTTGTTTTAATTTGGAATAATAACCCTGATTTACGACATACACATTCCCTTACCATGGTGACAATGTAAAAGGTCATGAAATAAAGGCGAGTCCAGTGAGAAGTTTCTGATGTCAAACCTTCCTGTGAAAACAAGGATCAAAGTGCTCAAGAACTACAAATGGCAGACAGATGCTCATTTACTGACTGGCTCATAGGATCCATAGGCTTCTGCTTCAAACACTTACAGATGTTAGCATTACTTCACATTTAAAACAACACTTTTAAACAATGTAATGTTCATTGTTTACAATGACATAGGTACACAACAATCTGCTGTCTGACATTTAACCCTCTCATTATCTTTGGTATCTTTTTAACCCTCAAATGACTTTCTCAAAATTTTAAAAAATGTTCTCTTTGTCCAATGGTATGAAACTTTCTTCAGCTCAAAAAAAAGGGGAATGATATCTGTTTTTATGTTAGCATTAAATGACACTACTTGTCTTCGGGGTCCCTGGAGACCACGCATAGTAAATATACAAAATTCATCATCAGAATCAGAAACAACGCAGAACACATAGACAGAAATAAAGTGGCACACTTCAGTTCCAACAATGCAAAAAACATCCACAATGCGTGCACACACAGAAACACACACAGGAATACATTTGTAAGGCTATACTATGCATACTGCCTGCAGTGCACTGACGCATAAACACCTGCAGTGCATGGTAAACGAGACTGTATGAGATGAGACCACCAATTATTGTTCGTAGTTGTTCAATTTTTCCCCCCCATTCACTGTTTTTTTTAACTAAATTTATTTTTTTAATGCTCTATTTGATCATTTGTTATTACTGTTCAGTTCATTGCATTTTGATGCTCATGTCATGTATTCTTACTCAATATGTAATATAACTGTTCGTTTCTGTTCTGTTACAGTTAGTAACTGACATGTTGATTAAAATTGCAGAATTATATTAAAAACAGATGATTGCAATAAATGATAAAATCTAAAGACTCCAACAATTCTCTTTGTAACATCTTGTTCAGGTTTGATTCTAATCATAATGTAACATTATTGAAAAAAATGGGTCAGTGCAAAAAATGCTAAACTTTGACAAAAGTTTTTTTGTTTTGTTATAATTGTGATTTTAGAATATTTAGATATGAATCCAACTGGAAAAACTTGTGAAGATATATTTTGATTTGTCAAATAGCATATAATGGAGCTCTATAGCCATCTAGTGGTTAAAGGGATTTTTTTTTTACTACATTTTCCAAAAAATGGCCACAAATCTTCCATTAAACCATGTAAAATTATCCATGTTATCTCCATGAAGGAAAGTTAGAAATCTGGGTCTTTTATAAGTGAATTTTACATAAAATGCTGTTTTATTTATTTAAAAAAAATTAAATATTATTTATTTATTTATAGATATAAAAACAATGCACAAATGTTGAGTAAAACATTAATAACAGAGTAAAATTACATTTGTAAAAAAAAAAAAAAGAAAAAGAAAAAAAACCTTTTTATTCTGTTACAAAATAAAATGTCAGTGTTGTAGTCGAGACCACCTCACTCGAGTCCGAGTCTAGACCGAGACCAGAGAGAGTCGAGTGCGAGTCAAGACCGAGTCCATAGAGAGTCGAGTCCGAGTCGAGTCCGAGACCAGAGACGGTCGAGTCCAAGTCGAGACCGAGACCAGTGAGGGTTGATTACCTAATTTACTTAGAGAAATCCTTTTTTTTTTTTTTACTGAATTTACTTACAGTTTTAAAAAATATGATCAGTTTAGGGTAAAAAGGCCACATAGTAGTAGTGGTGTTAAAAGCAATTTTATTACAATTTGTCATGCGCAGTTGCGCACTAGAAAATCACCAATCACTGGGCGTGTCAATCAATTTAAAGAAATATTTTATTAACATACATTAATAATCATGAAAATATTTTTGAATTGAACACGAGTGGACTCGGAATAAGTCCGAGTCCTAAAAAAAAAAATGTTCGAGTACGAGTCAATTCCGAGTCCAAATGCACACGAGTCCATGACAAGACCAAGACCATTAAAAAATATGGTCTCGAGACCGAGTCCGAGACGAGTCCGAGTCTCGAGTACTACAACACTGTAAAATGTTATTGTCTGGGTCCCGGGAGACCCCAAATATAAACTAGTATAGACACAAAAGAAGATAATCAGAGGGTTAATTCCAATAAAAAGGAGGTGTGCATTTACACTCACCATTGTGATGTACCAGTTGTTCACCACTGTTAGCTCAAAAAGAGTGACTGAAACATGGAAGAGAAAAAAACACTCAGTTACAAATTACACAAAGTTATACACTGAAGTGAGAGGAGTGTGTAGTGCTGCACATACCAAAGCTGCTTAGGATGTTATTGAAGTTATTGAGATAGTAATATCCCTCTTCAACCACGGTTCGGTTGCCAATGGTCACATTTATCTGGCGATACGAGTCAGCAACTGTGCTATTCCTTTAAGAGACAGAGAACATACCATTGAACACACCACTACTCAATTGTTTTTGTAGCTTGGCATCTACTGGCCATCTTGTACTTTCATAAACATTCTTTAAAATATCATTTTCTGTGTTGCACACACCACACTTGAAATAACACAAGGGCGAGTAAATGATTTCATTTCGAGGTAAACTATTCTTTCATTATGTAACAGGACAGCAGTAGTAGATCATCTTACATTTATAAACTGCATACGTTCAAGGTGATGTTCAGTCAATTTTGATTTTTGCAAAAGAAATACATTTATGATGATTAAAGGGACCTACTTGCAGCAGTTCGGATAAACAACCCCAGCAAAAAACTCCATTCCAACGATGGCAAAAGAATAATAGAAGATAATCAGAGTCAGACCTAGACTATAGAGACAGAGAGTGTTATGAGAGAGAGAAGATCCTTCATCTGTGACTAATGAGCTGACATGGATTATTATTTCTGTACCTGGCCATACGCGGGAACAGTTCAAACATTGTGTCCAGAACATTACGATAGCGCTGTTTAATTTTAAACAACCTTGACAAGAAATAAGAAAAAAATACTATGAAACTGTTAAATAAGGAAAATGTCTGTTTCAGCTATATCAGCTATGATTGATGAAAATATAAATTATAAAAAAGATATTTAATGATTCACACAAAATGACAGAGTTAAAGACACTGACAGAGTTAAAAGTTATTACACTGCAGATGTTATCTACAATGGAGTACAAATTTGGCATTTTTCTTAACTGATTGGTTTTTAATATAACGCAATAAATTGCTTAACAAGGATAACAATTTGCCTGAAAGTTGAACAAATAAAAAATGTCATGTTTTTTGAGAGGTTTGAATTCGGTTTTTGATTTCAGGTTTTCAATTCAGTCTAAGACTTCTGGGAGAACAATATGTAAATCAGAAATACGTCAAAACACAAAAATTAGTACACACACCGGAGGAGCTGAAAAGGTCTCAACACCACAATGAAGTAGAACGGCTCCATGTCAAAGGCCAGAGCAATCAATCCCAGAAAGGCAAATACTGTTACTGAAAAATCAAAGCTGGAAAAAGAAGCACACACATAACAATGAGGCAGTTTGAATGTGTGTGTGTTAGTGCTTATATGAGTGTACGTGTGTGTACCTACAGGTTCCATCCTGAGCTGAAATATGTCATTGGACCAAGGCCTGTGATCTTCAACAAGACCTCAATTCCATAAACTTCATTCCACAGACATATCAGCAGGGGGAAAAAATGCAAATGGTATGCATATTCATTAAAACATTGACATTTGGATTTACTAATGATTTCATTTTAAATAATTTCCACTTACTTGTGAGGAAAATAATGTAACTCAAAGGGACAACGTGAGTCCATGAGACACCATCTGTGAGGAGAGAAGAGCTCCCTGAGAGCCAAATTCAATTGGATTCACACAGAGAAAACTGTTAATTCTATGAATTCCCCATTCAGAAACGCTTGTAAATAGAGGACTATTTACAAGCGTTTCTGAATGGTGAATTCATTGAATTATCTAGAACTGCAACACAGCTGCACTGCATGTCCTACTGTTACATTACATTACTAAAGCAGATCTTACCATTTACCATGTTTGTCTCCACTAGGATCCAGATGCCATTAATTGCTACTACCAGATCTGTTACAGGTCAATAATGAAAAACAGACATTATTATTAGAAATATTGGAATGAATATAGTGCAAGCGCAAGAAACTACTACAATTTAAAAGTTTGGTGTCTGTGTTTAAGCAAAATTAATACTTTTATTAAGCAAGGATGACTTAAATTGGTCAAAAGTTAAAGACATTTATATTGTAACAAAAAACAATACGTTTTACTGTATCTTTGGTCAAATAAATGCAGCCTTGGTGAGCATTAGAGACCCCAATCTGTACAGTATATAATAATATAAGAGGTACTAGGAGGTATTAAGAGAATATCTGACAAATATGAATTTTTAAAATACACATTTTTCTATTAACCCTGAAGCAAACTGGTTTCAAAGAGAATGTATTCTGATCAGGTATTGTATGTTAATATCTAAAGGGGTAGAGCATATAACACAGTATTTAAGAAATATAACTTACACATTGCATATTGAAAAGCTTTGGATTTCACAACTAAATTCATTCCTGTTAAAAAAAAGAATAATGATCATAAAAAATATTACGGTAGACAAATATTTGATGCCAACTAATCATAAATGTACCTGGTCATTCTGAGCAGATCATTAAGTGTAAAATACTGTAACTAATACAAATTAAATTAAAATGACAAGGAAGCCTTTAAAACCTTTGAAAATGAGGAATGCTGTGCGAGGAAGATCATCAAACCAGTACTCCCCACTCCGTCGAGCCTGCAACACACACATACACACACCAGATGTTCTGGCTCAAGAGGGTTTAACATACACGCTGGGAGTATAATCATTATGTGACGGTGTGTGAAATCTTACCTTCCATTTGAGCCCAATCACTTCATAAAACTTATAAAAGTCCTGGAGACTAAAACACAAGCACAAATACACCTTAAAAACTCATCATCTATTCAAAAAAAATCAAAAGAATGTGAGCGTATGCACTTGTGAGCATGTGTATGTACCTCAGCATGGTTGCGTCTGAATAGTTGAGGGCTTTGAAGGTGAGAAAGCGATCCCGTGCAGTCATTCGTGGACGATAGAATCGCATCAGTCCATCAAACTGCTTCAAAGAAACTCCATCTGGCCTCTAAATAAAAGACACACATGCAGATTAATCACATTCACTTTCATTCACAAAGTAAACAAGGCTAAAAAACAGTCCAAGAGATGGGAAAACAAAGAGTGTTATCTGTATAAATCTCACCTGCCGACTAAGCAGCAGCTGGAAAGCGTGCTCCATGGCAGATCGCTTGTGTAAAAGCAGAGATTTGAATTTCATCTTCTCGACTCCATTAAAGGTGTCAAAAACTACTGCCAGGAGCTGAGAGGCAAAAAAGAATAGCAAACTCAAGGTAAAGGCTAGTTCAGGCTGCCCCAAAAGACCATTCCAAAAATGAATACATTATAACAAACAGATCTGATGTTGTCCATTACTGACCAGATTCATGATGAAGTAGAGCTCGATGGACAGATACACAATGAAGAAAATGCATGACCAACGATTCTTCGAATATGCTGGCATCATCACATCTGGAAAACTAGTGAAGAAAAAAGATGAAAAAAAAAAACTTGTAAATCTACTAACGACTCTGAGGTCTTTATAGATGAATAGTTTACTATAAATCATTTAGCAAACACCCTCTTATTGATATTGACTATTACTACATTTTTTAACAGTGACAGTCTGAATGTAGCAACCTGGGGTTAAGTACATTGCTCAAGGGCATAATGATAACAGAGGATCTGAGAAATTCTCTAGTTAAAAAAACTCCATGTGTTTTTGAACTGATAACATTTGTTTTACTAGCTCTGTTACAGGAAGACATAAAACAACCCCACTGAGACTCAGGGTCATGTTATCTTAGCCAGGATGTGTGCCCCACAGTGAGGCTACATACTTACTTTGCAGTGGTCAGAAGGACGAACAGACTCACAATGCTGTTCTCAAGTGTGCTAAAATACTGTAGAGAGAAAGAGAAGTCTTCCTGAGTTTGTACGTGTGATAGAGAAAAATGTGGAACATAAAGGTGAGTGTGTGTGACTGTGATGCACTAACCGGGTCAGCTGAGTTGCCTGAGAACAAGCAAAATCCCAGGATGGCAAAGATGACCATGAAGAAAAGCAACAGCAGAAGAATATCAATGAAGGGAGGAAGAGACTGAAATATCTGCCTCAGGTTTCTGAGGGAAGACAGAAATAGAGATATAGTGTCAGAATATCACTACAATGTATCCAGTCAAGGACATGCTATGCAGAAATTTCCTAATGTTAATGTGGATTTTAGGCAAAATCGGTGTAACGCACAACCTCAAGCAGCTTATTGCTTTTATAAGATCTCAGAAACAGCAATAGAATAAAAAACTTTTAATTTAATAAATAATAATATGCCTGCGAACGGCTCCACAGTAACGGCAGTCCACCAAAAAGATCGGCCGCAGGGCTCTCGTCACACGCAGGTGAGATGTCTGCCGGACTAAGACCACAATCGCCTCGATGAATTGAAGAAACAGGACACACGTCTGAAATGCACACAAATCAAGGGAGGATATCAGGAAGGATTCTTGAGCTGAACTTCTGTGAATATGAGTCTATGAATCTACAAAGAGGAAAACATATACCATTTTAAATATACATAGTCTATTAGAAAATCGACACACACCTTCACCATGGTCCTTTTATGCTGTATAAAGGTGTAAAAGCCAAGCCATCGGAGCTTCATACCCAACTCAAATGCCACCAACGCCAATGCCAATAACTCCAGTGTCGCATGAATCTGATAAGAACAAAGTATGAAGTCTTATTCATATAATCGAAATCCACAAGCATACAAATTTGTTTTACAAAGGCATTAGCCTTGTCTGGACGGTAATTGTTTCTGATGGGGACGTAAGGCATGTTCAACATTTGCAGGGAGTTGTCTGTGATTTTATTGCCATCCGAATCCAGAATGTCTGTTTCTCTTCCAAAACCCACATAGAAATCCCTGGCCGAATTAACTGCTGTTTTTTTAAATTACATCATCATTTTGAGAGATAAAATGCATTACAGAAAAGCAATTCAACTATAGCATGTCTATTTTCCTATTTTTAAACATATTTAAATAACTAAATAATAAATAAGATATTTCTATTACTAAAATAGTCAATCATACGACCATGTGAGCAGCCCGTTGTTTCATAGAATAGAAAAAAAAGAAAAGAAAACGCCATCCAAATGCATGACTTTTATCAATGAGGTGCCATGCAAATCTATAGATGTCCAAATGAGAAACAAGTCCTGTCTCAGTATGGCTTTACACACATACACTACCTTTCAAAAGTTTGGGGTCGGTACTCTGTAAGATTTTTGAATGTTTTTCCAAATAAGTGTCTTATGATTACCAAGGCTGTATTTATTTGAAATAAAAATACAGTAAAAAGCATCATATTGTGAAATATTATTACAATGTATTATTATTATAACTTAAAATATCTGTTTCCTGCTTTAATACATTTCAAAATGTAATTTCAATATTCCTGAGGGCAAAGCTGATTTTTCAGCAGTTATTACTTCAGTATGCTGATTTGGTGGTCAAGAAACATTTCTTATTAGAATCAGTAGAAAACGAAAAACAATTCAGGTCTCTTCAATTAATATAAATTTCTAAATAAAAGCATTTATTTGAATTAGAATCATTTTGTATCAATGTAGAAGTCTTTACTGCCCCTTCTGATCAATTTAATGCATCCTTGCTAAATAACAAATTAATTTTTCTTCTCAAATCTTAAGGCCCTTGCACACAGAGTCCGAGATTTTTTCCGTTCCATTCGTGATTCAGTGGCTCTGAATTGTCAAAACACCATTCAAACTGCTTGCTACGAATGCGAAAAATGCAGAAAATCAAACCGATACGATTTATTTTATGACGGGCAAAAGTTTCGGAGGCAGTGCCCAAACGTGATTGACAATGACATGAGGTCGTATTTATTTTTTAACGTGTGAAAAATTTCAAACGTGAATTACGGATTCAGTGTGCAATGGTTGTGTATGCACACAGTGCAAGTAGAAGTCACATACATAGACGTCCAAGCGCAGGAAGGGGACGGCAGGGGCCTCTGAGAGGGACAGTAGCATGAGTAACAGCGCAGTCAGCAGCTCCATCACATAGAAAAGGTGATTGTGAGCAAACAGGTAGGCGCTGAGCGCGTGGGCACTTCGTGGATGAGTGAAAAACTTGTCATTATTCTCTCCCTCCTGAGGACAAACACAGACAAATGGGAAAGGAAGAATTATTATCAGCCTTGAGTGTGTGTTTATGATCATCTATTTAGGTGCTTCATTGGAAGTTCAAAAGATGACCTGCAGATATATTGCTGCTTCCTGGTAGTTCATTTCCCAACTCTGCCGCAAAGAATTCTGGGCTCTAGGATCTGGTGGTCCTGGGGTCGGTATGACAACATTATTCACAACATCATAATTTCCTGCCGCATCTGTGTAGAGAAAGAAAAAATATATATAGTAAAAATGATTTCTCAATATAAAATAAGCATTCACAGTTGATCAACACATTTCAATAGCATACCGACAGACGGAAACTGCTGGCAGAACGAGGATGTTTGGACTGGCCTATCATGTGTTAGTGCAGGCATGTTGTCAACAGTGCAACTGATTTCCATAGCAGCCGCTGTGATCGGCCCCACGTCCCAGTAGTCAGACAGAGAGCATGTCACTGGTCAAGCAGTTTTAGCGCCGCAAGGGTTAATTATAAACAATGGACTCGAACATGTGAGTTTCATTGTGCCAGCTGCTGTGGCCAACAGTCCAAAAGCAGAACAGAATCCTGTGGTTAAGCTCACGATTCCTCCAAAGACGACACAGTTTCCATGAAAACTCAAGTCAAATCAGGTCAAACGCTACTTTAAAACTCAAAATATCTCTCTCAGCACCTTCAAACATTCATTTGAATGTAACATTTGTTAAGAAAGACAAAAAAATGCTATTAATGCTAAAAATAACCAATAAATTACACAAAAATGTCTCTTTTGCTGGCAAAAACATAAGAAATATCCACAAAAGAGGATCCAAGTTTTACTTATATATATATATATATATATATATATATAAAAATTTTGATTAGACAATTTTATAGAAAAGTGAAGAATTAGATTAGGTCTGCTTTCAATAACATCAACAATATTTAGACATTTAAAGACAATCAAATACCGAAAAAAAAAAAATCAAATGTGAATGAAATGTGAACAAATGCACTTCAGAACTGCTTCCCAAAACACTGGCTGGACTGTTGAATCCCAAATAGCTCGATATTCCAAAAGGATTCCACTCTGCACTTTTCCCCTCTCTTTCACAGGATATGTGGGAAGGAAACACTGTTGATGGTTCTAAGATCACAGTGTAACCCAGCAGTTGAATAGATAGTCCAGTGGATTTTCTTAAGCATCAGGCCCAAACACAGTGAGAATGTCCTTTGAAATCTTGAAATCTCTCCCATCAGTTCTTCAATCTCTCTGTCAAAGCCTCCTCTCTTCCGTGTCATCTTTTGTTTCTAATGCTATTTTCTCTATTTACAGTGTCCATTTTAGTGATTTTTTCCTCCAAGCTCAAAAACACAGCAGTCCTTTGAGAGCTGAACAAATCTACCAAACTGAGAGCCTCATTTGACTCAAAGGGAAGTAAAAAGTTTCAATTCATTTTTTCGATTTATACTTACCATTGCTTCTCTGTAAGCAATGAATATAACATTTAATCCACTAACACCCTTTTAAACAATCTGTCAGGGCAAAGCCTGGTAAATGAATGCCTTACCGATTAAATCAAAAACAGTAAGAGCTTTTAGTTTGACCAAACACAAGCTGATTGAATGAGTTACTCCATTGCCGATCAGTTCATTGTAAACAGCTCTTATTGAGTACGCACATGACAACAACAGTGTGGGTTTTGCTCTGTGTCTGCCTGATCAATAAGTTCCTGGCAGAGCAAGAGCGAACAAGAGAGACAGCACTGATAGCAGTTTTCTTTTCAGTCCAGTTCCAGATTTCCTTCAAACACAAAGAAACAAAGCCGAACTAATGATCAGAGATTTCAAATATCCAAACAATCTTCAGCATGACAATGACAAACATTTTGAGATAGCAGCTTGAGGCAGAATGAGAAAGCAGGCATCTGATATTCCCATCAGCTTCTTCTTTCCTCATAAATTAAGAGACAGCTGTCCAGGAACCAAAAAGACTGTGTCCTTATGTTGTTTTTTTCTTAATGAAGAATTTTCATGGCTAACTAAATGAACATGTCAAATCCCAAAAGAGCGCTACAATTTCCATTCAGGTCCTCAAAATATTCACGCGTCCAGCGCTCATCACTACCACACAGTTTTGACACAAGGCCATGGACTGTGTGTGTGCCAGATGGGAGTGGAGAGGGGGCCACACTGTTGTATTTGCCATAGGCTGACACAGCACTTTAACTCCTCTGTCTCTCTCTGTGTGTGAGTGTGTGTGTGTGTGTGTGTGTGTGTGTGTGTGTGTGTGTGTGGGAGAGAGGTACAAAAGCTGGTATGCTGCTGCATTGGACACTTGAACACATGATCGTTGGGGTTGGGAATACTTCACTCTTAAAGTGAAAGTACTTCACAGTGTCCTTACCCAAAAACATTGATTCACATAATGTTTGTTAATGTTTTCACCAAAATGCAATACCACACAAGAGCACTAGAGCGCAGCATCTCTCCTGTCATTTTTAAACCATTCACACCAAAAGTCTCACAGTTCTAAACACAGCACATTTGCTGAATCTACACTGCGAAGGTGTCACAGATGCGCTTCTGAAGTGGCATTTAGGTGTCTTTACAGACTTTTGAATGCTGCTCAGAAGTGGCATAGATGCATTTACAAAGCAATTTCAACGGTATACTTATGCAGCACGATGTCTGGTCTTTACACAGAATTGAGCAGGCACAGAGCATTAACTCTGCAGTGTAAAAGAGCCTTTTAATTAGATTATTTCCCTTAAATTTACACTGCAAAGTGCAAATGTGTCACAGAAGCACTTTCAAAATGGCCTAAGTCTAAGGTTTAATGCTGATCAGAGGTGGCATAAATGGCCTTACACCAAAATTACAACTTTGATTCTAGGGCCTGAGGTGGGTGAGAGCAGGCATAAATTAGTCTGGCTTTTAAGCTAAATTGCTACTTTAGACTGCATTTTGAGCAGACACACTTAGCCTTAACTGTAAAGACGCCTTAAGAACAACATAAGCCAAATAGCACTATAAGCAATCTGTATCCAATAGCAAATCTGTTTTTTAGAGTGAAAGATGCCACGTGTAACACAATTCAACAAAACTGCCTTCAAATGTATGGCTGTCAAGCCGAATAGATTTACTTCATAAACTTATTTGTGTGTGTGTGTGTGTTTTAAAGAACTGCTGATATCTGTATGTGTAGCAGATAATGTTCACTTCCAAGTGAAAACTGGATACAATATGAAAATCATTCACATTCACACATCAAAGAGATATTTTGTGTGATGGCATCATGATTAAGTCTAGCAATCCCACACTCCTCTATGACAAGATCCACCACTGATGACAGCTGGCACACACTGATGAAATTAAATTCAACATTAGAAATGCTTTTATAAAGCAGTGTGGGGGGAAAACAGCCATGCTTTAGCTGTACTAAAACCGTAAATTGTGCCAATGCAGAAGGCCTACAATTATTAAGGCCTAAATCATCTTCCAGCGCATTAGCAATGTCAGTAATGTAGTCAACAATGACGAAAAGGTTTGACTGCCAAGCCCTCTAGAGTTATCCACTGTCACATGATGGAAGTCTGGGGGTTAAAGATCAGCAGGTTTCATGTAGAACAGCTGCGCCTGTAGTAACTTATCTCAGCGAAGTCTAATAATCAACAGTTCTGTAAGACTATTACAGTTAATCACTGATAATTAACTGACACCCAACAGCAGAAGTCTTCAAATGTCGGTTCTGACACCAGGGAACTATAGGGAGTCTATAGAGAATTTTATAAATGATGTTTATAGGGCTATTGTTCTTTTGAGTTCACTAATTGTTACCAGTGAGATATCAAAGCGATTGATGTTGTCTTTGCAATATCACGCTTAAAATACTTCTATTTATAGCATACTAGAATATATACAGCTAATTCGGCAGGATTTATAACATTATATTTGCAACAATTGGCCCTTGGAAAGTTTCAAACTCTCTGCTTTACAGTATCTGACAGCTCAGACAAAACCAAGGAGAGAGAGAGGGGCCAATGACAGAATTCATAAAGGATGCTGCGCACCAAACCGGTGACAGATCTTTACAAGAGGGCTTAAAGCCGGTTAAAGATCTGTACGCAGTCCTGGTATAGCACCAGCAAAACTTAGGTAAATACAGACCGAACAACCCTGCACAAGAAGCGTCAACTGAATTAGGCGTAACTTAACTTAGTAAGGACACATATACTCACGCTCGTCTTCCTCCAGGAGCCCGCTGGTCGCATCGTCCCAGGTCAGAATCAGCGGCACATCGTCGTCCCCGTCCGCCATCCCGCAGAACGGCGATAGGAACGTAGCTTCCTCTATTTTCAATAAACTAAGTTAACCTTTCACTGCTGCAAAGAAACTTGGACTACACGACACGAGTTGCAGAAACCGTTTTAATGTCCCTAAACACCAAACTGAGTGCGTCTATGCTAAAACGTGTTTTAATTAAACTTTAACAGACGTCCAAGATAAACAAATCAGAATTAAAAACTAACAGAGCCTGTCTGTTTACGTCATTATCGTCGGCTGTTATAAAAAATACCATCGCAAGCACAAGGTATATAGCTGCTTTCTAAATTAGTAATAAACTAATTAAACTTTATAACGCAGAAAAATGCGATTTAATCGCGTTTTTAACATTATAAATAAAAGAACCGACGCCGTCAAGCAGGAGGATCTGACGTTACGTCTTTTTACGACAGTGTCGTTTTTGACCGCAGAGATAAAACAGCTGAACTGTCACAATAAAAGTCACGTTTTGAAAAATGTTCCTTGTGGCAAACATTTTAATTCATTCATTGATAATATGAGGTTATGATTTTTTTCATACACGTATAATTAAGCGATGAGTGAGATTTCTAATTTTTTTTCTTTGCTGGAGTAGAGTGGGAAGTCACTGAATGGAGTGGAGGGGTTAAAGATAAGAATGTCATGCCAACGCCGGTTGTCACGGCAACTGGTATAAACAACAACAACAGGAGTTTGACTGATGAAGTGAATACGGATTTTGACCAAAAAGAATAACACGGTGACGTATTACATATTAGAATGAATTTTAATTCAGAACTGTTTTTATCATTCAAATGAAAACCTTTTTGTACTTAGGTATTTTTTTGTATGAATTGCATTTTAATGTATTTTAAATAGCTTTGTGGAAACTTTGCACCCTGACCTTCTGTATTTAAATGTCTTTCAAAATCTTGTTTTAAATGTTTTAAAATGTTTATTGTTAGTAATGATAAGATTATCTAGTGTCTGTTTATTTGATGCGTGATGGCTTTCTCTCCCTTACTCAATCAAAGAGACCTCTAATGATGAGCTCAAAATTAGATGATCTCCCTCTTGAAGAGAGACTATCAGATGCAGCCAGCATTCCAAACAAAACTAAAGCAGACCTCTTAAAGATCATCAACCCCACCAGGAAAACTCTATCGTCTTGGGAATCAAAGCTCATTTTAGGGGTACTAGATGAGTGCATTAATCAGATGGAGATAGCCTCCCTTTTACGCACTTTGCTGAACTGTCCAGAAGCTCTTTCCCCGAGCCTGGGAAAGGAGGTGGTGAGCGCCCTGAAAGAGCATCATAGACTTGAAGAAAAGTACCAAGCTATGGTTCTTGATGTGAGTCTTGAACAAAAGGAACAACTAGCCAAATCAGCAAAAGCAATTCAGGATTCCTTTCGTAACATTGTCCGGCTAATTAGGGGAACTCAGACCACAAGAGAGGTGCTAAAACCAATAGAACCTAACACAGGGGGAGAGATGGGGCTTCAGAATTTGAAAGATGGCCTGTGCAAGTTCAGGGAGGTCGTTTTGGAGAGGCTCCTCAGAACCCCTACGGAGGAGAGAGAACACGGAGAGATGATTCTGAAAGTCAGTCTACGTCACTCTGCCAACCAGGCAGTGATGGACTCACTGGACAAAGAGATTGCAATGGCAATAAAAGCCAAGGAGACAGAGGTGAGAAGCACCATAAGGACCAAACAATGTTTAGAAAGTTGACAGTTGTGATTAGTTAGATGACAGAATCTTGACAGATGAACGAGTTATCCAAATGTGCTCTCATTCTCTATTTTCTCCCCTTTTCTTTCTCTGTCTGGTTTCCCCCCCGAATTAGATCTCCATGTTGAATAATAAAGTGCAGCAGCTGAGGAGCTCACTGCATCAGATGGAAAAGAGTTTGGAAGAGTCTGTTGTCCGAACTCAGCAGGACGCTGAGAAACAGAGCCAATCAGAAAAGAAAACTTCAGAGGGGAAGAGAGCTCGTATGCAGCAGGAGGCCAATCAACTGAGAGCTCAGTTAAATAATGTGATTTCAGAAAACAGAGAGAGCGAAATGAAACTACGAAAGGTGTGCACACTCGGGGCTCATCCAGTTAATGAAAAAGGAAGCATACGTATAGTGATTATTTTAATGTTACTGATTCATGATTTGCAGAAAAAATACAAGGAAGAAACAGAGATAGAGAACTTGATCCAGAAATATGATGCTGAAATGGGGGAGAAACAGGTAGACATAAATGACTTGGCATTTACTGATGTTTGATGCATTTTGAGATGTATTTGCAGATACCGTTCAAAAGTGTGGGCTTTTTACAAGATTTATTAGGTTATATGTCTCGAAATGAATTTTATTCAGCATTCATTTGATTGACAATAAATACTTTTACATTGTTACAAAGAAAAATTTTAAAATAAATTCTGTTCTTTATTCTTTAAAGAACCCCCCTTTACAGTTTTCACAAAAAAAATGTAAAGCAGAACAACCATTTTCAATTGAAGTAATAAGATGAAATGAGCATCAAATCAGCATATTAAAATGATTTCTGAAGGATCATGTGACACTGAAGACTGGAATAATGATGCTGAAAATTCAGCTTTGCCATCACAGGAATAAAATACATAAAAAATATAATAAAATAGAGAATAGTTATTTTAAATTGTAGTAATATATCACAATATAACTGTATTTTAACCAAATAAATGCAGCCTTGGTGAGCATTGGTTTGAAAAATATAAAAAATCTTACTGACTCCAAACTTTTGAACAGTATATACATTGCAAATACAATGTATAAATGTATTTTAATATTTAAATGTGTTGTCAAATGTGTTTGATTTTATATGTGTCTCTAGACAGAGTTGGAGGAAATTACTTGCATGCACGAGAAAGATGAGACAGAGCTGACAGGGCTGGAGGAACTTTTTGCAGCAATGAACCTGGAGTACTCCCAGATTATGAAGGAGCGACAGGAGGCTCAGGAGAAGAGGAGACAGCAAGAAAAAGAAAGAGAGATACAGAGCCAAGCGGCCACTATCATTCAGGCCCACTGGAGAGGCTTTTGTGTGCGCAAAGCCATGAAGGCCAGCGCAAAGCCCAAAAAAGGAAAGAAAGGAAAGGGTAAAAAACAAAAATAAAAGAAAACTACAAACAAAAGCACAGTGCAAGATAATCACTGTTATTACTCTTATGTTATTAGATAAATAAAATCAATAAAGCCCACTATGACTGAGACTCATGAAGCATTCAGAAGTGTTCACATTCATCTTTTGTTAATACTTTTACCCACAATTTTGTATGTAGGCCACTTTGATTTCAGAATGAAAACACCTATTGTTTTCATTTGTCATTATAATTATAAAATCCAATTCTGGAAAAAAAAAAAAAAAAGTTATAATGGGAGACGAGTCACAATTACCTTTTTTACATTTTTTTAATTCAGTGGCAGAAACAAGCTTCCATAGAAATAGAAAGGCAATATGCTTTGATAATATGTCACTGATTAATTAAAAGGGAAAAACCTTAAAATGAATCATCCATGTAATCTCCATACAGTCTCTGTCTCCATGTTGCTTCTCCCCACCTCATTGCATAATCCTGTCAAAATGGTGATCAGATGATGATTTTTATTTAGCTTAGACGTCTGGTCATTTTCAGTTGATATCCTGTACATCCTCAAAGCTCGGGTCTTAATCCCCTCAGTCATTTTCTTCAGTTCGATTCGGCATAGTCATAATGTTGAACTTTAGATCATCATCCACTAGACCTCCCATAAACTGAAAATATTTCTGAATCTGTAAAAAAAAAAAGAGAGAGTTATTCACCACAGCAGTTGTGAAACATCAGCTTGCATGCTGCATGCATTTGATCACACAATGCTGTGATGACTTTTACGGTACCTCATTTTAATAAAAAACACATCAACAACAAAATACTTGACAAACAAAACATTATTCACCATTTCCAGCTGCTTGAAGGTGTCCTCAGAGTCCACAGAGACTCTTCTGTTGTAATGTGTGATCATTTGATAAATGTTATGGATCGTGGTCTTGAGCTGAGCAAAATAGAGAATCTCTTTTTCTGCAGTGGAACAGAAGTGCTTCAGTTTTAATTCCTGTAGAATACATGAATAATCTGTAATCTTGGTACAAAAGGTAATCTGTAAACAGTACAAAAGACAGAGGTGCCACCGTGACATCTGTGTGTCTTTTTGTGAGTGTACATTAACACACTCACCCTCTGTAAATATATGAGTGTGTATTTTTACCCATTTGTATGCTTCGAAGCGTATGCTGTCTAGCTGCGTCTGTTGCTGGTGTAGTTGGTTGTTACAGTGCAGGAGAACAGTTCGCTGCTTATTTATGTACTGTGTCAGTTCCTGCTTTGTCCTCTCTCTCTCTTTCTCTAATGCAGTCTGGTTTTCTAGAAGTTCCTTGTGAATTGACTGGAGTGCTTGAAGACGGGCGATGACTTGACCAATATTATCAAACTCAAATGTCATGAGAAAAATTGGGGGAGGGGGGAAAGAGAAAGAAAAAGTGTAACATTACTATACAATATTTAGATATTTCAATATAGTGAAAAACTTTCAAAAATGCATCCGTTTTGTGTTCAAAGATTCCAAAATAACTCTTTATGCAGATATTTTCTTGTTACCCCATCTGCCTCATTCACAAAACAGAAAATCCAACCACACAGAATAAAGGCCCATTCACACCAAGGACTATATAATGATAAAGATATTGTTCTAAATATAATATTGTTCTAAACTGTAATAATAGAGAAACAATGTCGTTGGAATCACTTTCAGAACGTTTTTTCTAGCTGATGAGTGATAAAAACATTTTAAGACAAAGCTACTGGGCTACTATCTACTATCTTTCCTCCAGTGTTTACAATTGTCATATTGAGCATTCAGGGCTGCTGTACATTTTTTAAAATCAAATGTAAGATTTGTTAAGACCTGAAGAAATGAAAATTAATGCTGCACATAAAGAACAAACTTACCACTATCTAAATACATAATATTATGTAAGCAAATATACAAATACTAAACACATAACATTTAACAGTGATTAATAAAAGTTCAAATCTAACATGCATAACTGGATATAAAGTGACTGATCACATGACAAATGGTCATTATGTTTTTCATTCTACTGTTCAGCCACACCATCCTACTGGCATTTCAAAAAACAAAGTAATAATTCCACACAAGAGCAGTCTTCCTTTTTAAACATAATAGTGAGATAACATAAGGGCCTGTTTTATCAGTAGCCCAACATCTCAGGTGGTCGTGGAGGTGCCGACTCGTGTGCAGAACCCACAGCCTTAAGTTTTTCTGCCGGTGCAAACCTTGCACCTTTGCAGTTGTGTCTGTCGTTGTGTTCCCCAGAGCTACTGCTAGTGGAAACTTTTATCATGGTATTGACTATTTTGATTATTAAGACTTTAAAAATGCCCCGCAGGAACATTGGTGTTGCAATTCATATATCTCTGCCCTACACAGTCTTTAGTTCAGACTCTCAAAGTGTGGAAACTGGAAAGTCTCACTCTTCAGTCAAATGAGGCAGGTGAGTCCAGACAGCTTGACAGTTTCTCTGTGCTGTGTCAGTACCTCTCCCCATTCCAGACACAACAACAGCAAGACCTAGTTATTTAGAGCCTACCTTTCCGGACATTTTTGCAGCTCTTTCCAGGAACTCTTGGTAGCATATGGCTTTTCCGACATGTTTCTCCAGAAGCTCTTTACGTGCCTGCAGGGCGTCATTCTCAGTCTTTAGCTTCTGAATCTCCAGTTCTTTCAGTCTTACTTGTGCTTTCTCTGCCTCTGCTTTCTTTATGGCACGCAACCGCCTGGCATCATTTTCCTAAAGGGAAAGAAAAACACATAAAAAGGTTCCCAAAAAGTAATTTTACATATTACTCATTTCTATGCAAGTAGTTGTTTTACTTGCAAAAACTTGTTATATTTCAATATGGATCTCTTCAGTTTCTCCTCCTCTTTCTTCATGTTTTCCTCTCTCTCTCTTAAACTCTCCCGCTTCATCAGCATCTCCTGACAAAAGCACACACATGTCGGAGAACGGAAACATTAACGTTACACTCATTCAAATTGAAACAGCGAAAATGTAAATACAGTAGGTTGTTTTTTTTTTTTCATACGACCACCTCTTTCTGCGCTTCCAGTGCTGCTGTCACGCTCGAGGACTCCTCGCGCGTCTCCAAAAGTTGCATTACGCTTGTACTCTTATCCGTCAAATCCTTCTGCACGGCCTTATTTCTATAGGGTTGAACAATCTCTGAGTACACGCAATTCACCATCTTTATCCGCCCAAACAAAGCTTTGACTACAGTTTTGCACTTCAACGACTAGAATCTAAGTGGCCATAACTTATTAACGGATTCAAAAACAAGATTTGTAGTGTAAATAAGTTATATACTTACAATGAAAGTCGTTCTTTGAAAACCGACTGAAAGCAATCCTCCAAATTCATCTTTTAAGTCCCACAAAAAGCTTTCCGGACAAACTTTTTGCTTTTTGCGCGTGTGTCGTTTCCAAAGCAACAAAAAGGAAAGCGTTTCCCTATATTGCCCTCCAGTGGCAGATTATTATTTATTGTAAGTTTAGTGAAGTTTGGTGTTGATAATAGGCTACTTCGTTGATGTGTCGTGAATAATAATGTGGTCTTAATGAATAATGTTGCAGTTGCTGAGAGAATGTTATTATTATAGACCATTTCACAAGATGTAAACAACACTGGTCCAGAACAGAAGCACTTCCTGTTTCAGTTTGTAACTGTTTTCTTTATTTCACATGTAAAGAAAACATCTTAAAGATGTTTGTTTAACTTTTTGATTCAGTTTTAAATGTTCTGTTGGTTGTATTTTATCCCAGCTTTTATGTAGTGTTAAAAAAACTGGAACAGGAAGTGCTTCTGGAGCAGTGTTGTTTACATCTTGTGAAATGGTCTATATAGCCTGTAACACTAACTGCATAGATCTCCTACAACGGTTTTGGTCTATGGATCATAATCATCTTCAATATGGGGAGACCAGGGGCAAATCTACCATTTTTTACATTTTCTTTAACTCAGAATACTTGAAATACACAAATTGTCTTTTGATTCAAGAAACAAAGGTGCATCAATTAACAATAAAATTGATATATTTTCACTAGTAGGCCTAAGTAAATTTAATAAAGCACATTCACACACAGCATAAAACTGACCAAAGATAGTTGTTAGGAGAAAGTTGTTAGCCATCCATATTTTGATGTCTTTGAGATGGACCAGGAGAGATTATGTGGAGTCACTAGATTTTAGTGGCAAGTAAAGCTGTGAGTCTTCCGCATAGAGGTGAAAGATTGGGAGATTGGTACAGTGTCTGAGCAATTGTAACACTGATAAATAAGTAATATTATATTTATACCCACTGTATAAATATGTTAATTTTCTAACAGGATGTCAACATAGACAAAGAAGGTGCTTCCATTGGACCAAACTTCGGAGCAACTTTAACACAATGTCACAGCCATGATATTGTACACCTATAGAGTTGGTTGACGACAGTAAATCCTCGTGATGGCCAAAATGGGCAAAACTACTATGGGCCTGGCACACTGCATGTTTACTGGGTATCAGCATGTTTTTATTTTATTTTTTATTTTACATACATAAAATGTAGTCATCTAAACCGTGGAAAAATACAATAACAAAAAATATGGTACATCCAAAAACTAACTTTCATAACTCAAAATTATGAAGGTTATATGTTCTTCAACATTTGCTGAGGTGAAGTGATCGTGATCCTTTTCCAAAGGCAGAGAGAAAATCCTACTGATCATGTGCAGATTAAGTGTCATCAGCCTGTTTCTGATCGGAGGAACTAAGTGTGTTACAATTGCCCCCGGTCTCCCCCTACGCACTGAAGCACTATCAAATGTATAAGCTATAAACATTTATGAGGAATTTTTTATACATAAGCCTGTTAAATGTCTTCTTTGGTTCAAGGCGTGCCAAAATGCACTTTTTTGTCTACATCATTAGAATTTAAAATATTTTTTCGCTATTTAATGAATAATTCCACTAGAATAACAATGCGAGAACATGAAAATTCCCTCTTTTGTACTACTCTTAATGGACTTGATGAAATAAATTCAAATACGTTAAGTGTTTTTATGTGTTTTTTATTCCTTTTGTTTTCGTGCGTGTGTCCAGACCTTCATTTATCTTTAATAAACATGCTTCTGTCTCCTGTCACCTTCTCTCCTAATGCATTAAGGCCTCGAATCCTTCTGTTGTCTAGTGTGGAATTAGAGGAAATAATTTTTTTAACACCCATGTAAATGTCCAAATGCTGAAAAGACAAGAAACTTTTTTTTCCCCTCACAATAGGCATTTATTTATTTCACTTTATTTTGCGTATGTTTCTTAGCTTTAGAACAAAAACGAAATTATTTTTTGAAGATGTTAAACAGTGGGGTCCCCTGAACAGTCCTCCATCACCCTCATGATCAAAATCTGATGGACTGTAGCCAGGGATCCCATATTTAGTCCATTATTTGACCTTATCCCTGACCTCAAATCGCAGAAAGAAAAAAAAACCACACAACCCCACATGTCAGCATGTTATTTAGTAAATTAAGGAGGCATCAGGTCTCTGTGCGTCTCTTTATTGTGTTCACACATGATCGAACACTGAACAAGCGCAGGCGAAATTCATTATTCAAAAGCATAACAGAGGTGAGTGAGTGAGCAGGAGACCCACTCAATGTTCAGGATGATGTTTACCCTCACTTAGCATTTGTGATAAGTGATGAGACACCACAGCTGTCCCGCTGAGCCGGGGTCAGGGAGCATTTGTTTGTTTGTTTGATAGTTGTAATGCACCGTTTAGTGTTGCAAAAAGAGACTTGCTTATGGGTGGTAAACAATATCGAACAAGAACACAGGGGTGAGAGAGAGAGAGAGAGAGAAGAGAGAGAGAGAGAGAGAGAGAGAGGAGAGAGAGAGAGAGAGAGAGAGAGAGAGACTAATGTTCATAAAGACCGAACAGCTAGGTGATTCAGTGCTTGAATTAAAGTGATAGTTTAGCCAAAAAAATGTATTCTTTCATCATTTACAGGCCCTTTTGAATTTTTTGTTTTATATTTTTTTTGAAAGAAGTCTGCTCACCAAAGCTGCATTTTGATCAGAACTTGAATACTACCTATTACAATTGAAACATTTTAATTTTAAAATCCTGTAATGGCAAAGTTACATTTTCAGCATCATTACTCCAGTCTGATGAGTAGTATAGTCTGATGAGCCTTGATTTCTGCAGTGTCATTCAGATGGTGGGGGCAGAATTTGGCATAAATAACATGAATTGCAGCAATGTACCAATGGTTCTGCATGGCTGCTGGTGGTGGTGTAATGGTTTCTGGGATATTTTCTTAGTATACACTTAGGCCTCTTAGACTTAGTACCAACTATTCACCGTTTAAATGGCAGTCGTCATATTCTTGCAGACCATGTCCTTCCCTATGACCACAGTGTCTCCTGATGGCTACTTCCAGCAGGATAACAAACCATGTGACATAGCTAAAATCATCTCAAACTGGTTGCTTGAAGATGACAATGAGTTCACTAATGTCAAATGGCCTCCACAGTCACCAGATCTGAATCCATTAGAGCTCCTTTGTGATGTGGTGGAATGAGAGATTTGCATCAGATTTGCAGCCGACAAATCTCCAGAAAATTGTATCATGTTAATTTGGACCAAAATCTCTGAGGAATGTTTCCAGCACATTGTTGAATATGTGGCACAAAAATTAAAGCACAAAAATTCATAATTATATATATATATATATATATATATATATATATATATATTATAAATATATATATATATATATATATATATATATATATATTCAAAAACAATATTCTCTTTGAGGTCAAGTAGGAGGCCAAACCTCTCATTTTGCTCAAACCATATTCAAGTAGACAGAAAAGATGTAGTAAGGCATTTAAAAAAAGGTTCAGATCAGTGAAACAAGTGTTTGTGAAAGGTCAAGCTGTGGACATTAGGTCTCGCTCACATACACACGCATACGCAGACACTGCATGACCGGCGGTGCCATTCGTGGTTAGTGATATCATTATGGCAGTTTTGCATGGGAGGTATTGGGGCTTTCTTGCTAATGGAGAGTGACAGTGGCTCCTTGCTGCCGAAGCACACTGCCCCAGAACATTCGGAGGTGGGGTGCGCAGGGGGGTTTTAACCCCCACATAGGGGTTGTGCGGTCATAATGATCATTGCATAGGCTATATATCAAACACAGTAATCAGTAAATAAATTAAAAAAACAATGAATGCGAAAAAAATAGTAGTCAAATGGACAATTCTTTAGAGGATTACGTATATACATTAATTATTACCTTTGTAAAATTCGAAATGAATAATGTAAAATTCTATTCATCATCATTAACGCACTACAGAAGTGATATTATCTGAGCAGGTAAAATGAGTACATATTTGTTTTTGATTTACAGATAATCTCTATTAACGATGTAATTTTTTTGAGGAGTCTGCTCAGGTCTTTTCTGTCTGTGTTTGGCTACAGGCTTTGACATTGAGGATTATGAGGTCTCCATAGGGAACATTCTTCTTGGGATGCACTGTTGGGGGAGGGGCTTCCATGTGAGTGTTTTCTGGTCCACTAAGCATCGGATGCATTGATGCACTGACCCACTCTGAATCTCTTGGCTGCTGGTATTTACTGATTATTGACAACTGCTGATTCTGCCTCTCTGTCTTTTTTATTGGCATTTTATTGTTTTTTTATTGGTTTTATTGAAGTACATTGTTAAAGAGGAATCTAGAGGAATATTTTAGTTTAAACAAAGACTTAATGTCAAATATTTGTTCATATATTTTGATGCCATCAAACATCGTCTTTAAATATTTAAGACTTTTTTTCATAACTTCAAATTGTTTTTCTTCTATATTTTCACTGTATAATCCTGAGCTTAAAGAACATTTTTGTTTTAAATTAAGTCACAGTGCCTACTTATCTTCCGCTATCAACTTAACTTAATCAAACTTACTGAATACATGTGAATTGAATTGAATTGAAAGCTGGAAATGAGGAACAAGAATACACAATTATGAATACATTAGTTGTGAGCTGCATTCCTAACAACTCTGCATTAACATTAAGATGCACGCTTTTCGATCTCTTCCCACTCCGCAATAAATTCGGTTAAATGGGTATCTTTCGCATTTTGCTTAAGTGGGCATCTTAACGATGAATGGGTTAATAGCATTACAAGCTAATGTCAGGGAGGTAAAAGGGCCCTTATTGGAGTGTGTGCGTGTGCCAGAGTGTACTGGGGGCAGCGGCGTGTTTCCTGGAGGAGCTGGATGATGCCATTAGGATTGGGAAAATGAGCTCAGATCACTTAATTAGCAGTAAATAAGTGCCTAGCTGGGCCAGGAAATCCAGTCAGGGTCAGAGGCTTTTCAAAGACTTGATTTGAGTTCAGATTTTAAACAGTTCTGCTGAGATAAGACAGAGGAATTTAATGATAGCAGGTTAATATTATTATATTCTGTGTATAGGTTTTGCATTCCTAAACATTTGTTGGGATCTTCCAAATTTTATCTGAAATTTAGTTATAAATGGCAAAAAGACACATTGCTCTCTGAATACAGTGCAGTATTGTTTGTTCACAAAACCTATTATAATAGGTTTTGTGAACAAATAATAGGCCTTCCAAATGTCAACCATGTAATCCAATGGCATGAAAAGGGGACAGAAAAGAGCTGAATTATCTTTCCTCCAAGTAAAAAATGTTGTTGAAATGCACAAGACATTGCCTGGTCTTTACATGATAAACTGTTTTGCCCTTAAGAACTTTCCAGTCATTCCTGTGAAGACAAACTTCTGAATAGCCCCTCTCTCTCTCTCTCTCTGTTTCCCTGCAACAGCTTAAACTCTTACATGAGGTGTGAAAATACACCTCTAAGCACACCTCTAAACACACACACGTTGGGTTTTCATGTTTTATGGGAACTTTCCATAGACGTAATGATTTTTATATTGTACAAACTGTATATTTTATCCCCCCTCACCATACCATTAAATCTACCCATCACAGAAAACATCTGCAGTTTTACATGTCGAAAAAACCTCACTTAAATATGATTTATAAGATGACACACACATAGACGCATGCAAACGTACACATACAAATCTATAATTGAAGTACATTTCAAGACAGGCTCTAGATTAAACACAAAATACATGGTTGTGGATTACCATTTTATTTCAGCCTCATATTCAAACAAGTTTCAGAAAACACCTTCACAAAACACAGAAACTCTACATTTTTCTGGGTAAACCACTCTCAATGAATTTTAAAAACGCTTTACAAATAAATATCAGCAAACACAAATTGTGAACTCAAAATCAATAAATAGTTCATCATTATAAATAATTGGAACATGAATTTCACAACATTAAAACTCTTTTAAATGACCATATTTCACTTATGAAATTCTTATTGCATGGTGTGTCTATAAATAAATGTCCAGCTGATGCCCCTCCTCTATGTCTCTCTTTGCCTTGGGCCATGACAGGATTGGTAACATCACTGCTCCCTTAACGGACTGTGACACGTGCAGTACCCAGCATTCCCTTTTCTCTTCATTATAGAGTTAGAATAAACAAAATAAAGGACCCCCATCTGAAGCTAGCACATGAGCGTGTTCAAGTGGATATTTAAGAGCCTTTTGCATTTGGGGTTGTACATTAGCGTTTCCCAAGTGAAATAGTAAAAGAGAGGATTCACTCTAAATCTCCACAAATACTGGCCACAGTGAAACCAACCTACCTCCTTACCTTTTTTTCTTTTTTAATTCCTGGTGTAGATGTATCTTGATGAATTTATTTCTATGCGGTAATGTTAACAGAGATTCACACATCTTTACCAGAAGAGATATTTGATGAGATACAAAGGTACACAAAATCTCACACACATCACTGAAGTTGCAAGGAACATGCAAACATCCATCACTGTTTTTGGGATATGAGGAAATGAAAAGGTTTTTTTTTTGTCAGTATTAAATAAAAATTTCTCATTTTTATCCTGAAATCCCATTAGTTTCCACTTGCTCCACAGTGAATGTGAACATGAAAAACTTTTAGTTTTTAGTATATATATATATATATATATATATATATATATATATATATATATATATATATATATATTATAAAATTATATACAAATATTTATAACAATCAATTAAATAATTGCTTGCTAAACACTGGCGATAATATTAACTGTGATGTTAATATTTATTTTGATGATAAAACAGAACTGAAATATGTACCGATTTTAATCTGCCAGACCTGATTCACAACAACATAGAATCTGTGGAGCAAAACAGATGCAAATTTGTGATTTCAGGATGAAGTTATGAGCAAGTTATCGCGATTATTCACAGACTTTTTTCCCCTCTTACATACACACACACACACACAAACACACACTTGCTCAACTGCCCCCACACCAGCTGTTTGGTTGCTGGTTTTGGCTGAATGATCGACTGCAAGCATAAAGCGATAAATCAGTCATCATGCAGTGTGACTGGACACCCACCTCACAGGTGTATTGTGGATACAGTTCCTGAGAGAGGTCAGTGGTGGGATCAAAAGTCCCACTCATTTCTTTAGCAGAAGAAAAGCTTTGGTAAGTTGTACTGTCTGTATAAGACGCCCACCTGAGGTCCTCCATGCCCACCTGAGAGCTTCCGTACATGCAAGGCTGGTGCTGTGGGGTGTCCACACTGCAGGGGGAGAGCTGGTAGGTGAAGAGCTGGTAAGTGGGGTCATGAGCGTGTGGGGCTTCAGTGAGGGTGTGATCCCCTGCAGAAAACAAAAACAAAACATGATTCAATCATTCCAGTAAAGACATGGCAAACATGAATGTGGATTTCTGCTTTAAAAGAGTAGCTCATTGTTTTGGGTTTATATAGCTGGTTGCTGCTTGCTTAGAAGATGGCCACTGACCTTTTGAATTAATAATAACATGCATCCAGGATGGCAAAAAAAAGTTTACAGAGAGCTCTCTGCTGCATACAGAATAGAGTCTGAACAGCAAAAATGACAAGGACGACGTTGGCTCCTAAAATAAAATATTTAGGAGCTCAATAACACCGTAAGTAAAATTAATAATAAAAGTGGTTTTATTTAAAATTTTTATTTTTTATCTAAAATACTTTTATCTAAAGTAATATGTTTTACATTGTTCAAACCAATCACTGTAACAACATCTTTACTATATTCTGTTTAATTGTTTTAAAATATACAGTCATTAAAAAATGTTCATTTGATAAATACAGAAATAAAAAAGCAAAGATTTGAAAGCTTTGAAGGAGATCCCCATTATAATTTAATATGGGTCAAAATTAGATCAATTTAGTGCAGAAATTAGCACAAGTAAGATCTAGGCTGCTTTGTGAACATTTTTGACTGGCTCATTAAAAATGACCTGTTTGAATCAGACATCACAACAAAGGCTGTTTTTTATTGCTTTATTTTTTTTTTTAATTTAAAATAATTGCTTTCTCATTTCGAAGGCTAAGCCCTCGCTAGGTCACATACATCAAATTACAAAATATCAAGGAAATTACAGTCATTTAAACCTCACAAATCATAACAGTCGTAACATTTTATAATGGTTTCTTTTAGCCCCTTAAAATTCTGCAATATTATTGACTTGACTGTACTGAGAACTGAACTGAGCTGGATTTTCTCCAGAGCTGCTTTATAGATGAATTGAATTCATTCCATTATTGATGAACTTTAGTTATTGAACCGAACTGAATCAACACTGAAGTTATTTGACCTGAATGGTGACTGTTTGCTATTGTCATTTTAAAGCAGCTTTATAGCAGAATTTTATTCTGTTTGCGTTACTGAATCTTTTTCCTGATAACCAGTGTAAAGCAGCTTTGAAACAATCTGTATTGTATAAAGCGCTAAATAAAGGAGACTTGACTTTTCTGAAAAGAGAAAATTATGTACCTGAACATTGTTAAAAAAAACACAATAATTCCGAAGTAACGCAGGGACGTACAAAATAACAGAATAAGTACAAATACAAATAGCAAATACAAATAATAAATATAAAATGTACAAAATCAAATTATGACTTATTAAATTAGTACATTTAAAGTCACTTAAATTAGGCACTAATTTAAGCTGCTAAAATTATTTATTTATTTTTGAATGCCACATACCTTGGAGCCACTGTAACAAAACTTGAGTAACTTGTTTTATTTGAGTAAATAAAACTTACCTTTAATCAAAATATTATAACACAAAAATTCAAACTCTTTGTTTTGAAATATTTACCTGAAGTGTCGGAGCAGGTGTAGCCTGGACTGGGTTTTTGTGTCACATATTCTGACCGAGAGAGACAGTTAGGAGAAGGTACATGCTGCCTTGCAGTACTACGTGGCACAAGTGGATACTCCTTACTGTGGAAAAATGGCAAAAAAAGGAATCAGACACACTGCACATTCCTACAGCAGAGACCAACACTTTAAAAAAAATCCTGTTTTTTTTTTTTATGGAAAAAAAAACTGGCAGCTGTGGTTACCAAACCTTATTTAATTATCTGATATAAGGTTAATTTACCAACCTATTGAAGTATTAATATCTGTTTTGTTCCATTGTAATACACTGACAACCAACAATCATTACAGCAGAGATGAGAGTCACATGATCAATCAAAGTTCATAGCAAGCAGTCTTCCACAAGAAAGTTAATACTCAAAGAAGCCGCACAGTCTTATTCGCACAAACATTAAACACCATCATGGTAACACACATGGAATTTTAAAAATGCAATAAACATTTCATTTAACAACATTAAATGTAACATAAAACCCTAATGTGCATAACTGATTAGAAAAGATCTAAGAAATCTAAGAAGAAACAGTTATTTCAACAAAAATAAATCAAATGTGAAGTGTCACACAGGGAATTGTGGGAATTTATGTTTGACGATGAGTTGTTCTTTTTCACTTTCAAAAACTGTACATTTCTACGGTATTCTATAAAATTCTACGGTATTTCACATGTACCGTTAGATCTATAACGGTTATTTACTGTATATAGTAAGGAAACTTTCTGTTAACCAATTAACAGTTTTGCTCTGTAGAAATCCAACACAGTCTCATGAAGATGCGTAACTATACCACGAGTGTCATTTCTTGTGGCATTTATACGCCAAAAATGTTTTTTTTTCGTGTATATGTTACGCACTAAAAAACCCTGGGTTAGGTTTAGGGGGGAGGGGGTGGGGAGTTTGTGCGTATTATACGCAAAAAAGTGCGTATCATATGTACGCGAAAATCACGTGCCATATACACGCAAAAACTGTTCGTGCCATAGATACGAACTTTCATGAGATCGGCCTGAGAAATCACATTAAAATCACAATCATTTTTTTTACAGTGAAGACAATAATTGAGAAAATGATGATTAAAGGAAAAACTCCAAAGCTATATTCAGCATATTTCCAGGATATATCCAAGTGAATTATGGTCCTTTTAGGGGAGGAGTCTCGAAACACTGGCACTAGGGTTGATAGATCAGGGTGTTAAAAGAGAGAGAGCAGTCTCATGATTTGCACTGGCATGGTGGGCGGCGAGGGTAAGGGATATCATTTGCACAATACTGATCGTTTCTAATTACATTTCTAAGCTAAGAGACAATTACAGTAGCTAAAAATCTTCTCTATCCCCCTTTCCAATCTGACTCATTCCTCTTTCTCTCTGTTTTCTTTCTCTCTCTCTCTCTCAAAAACGCATTTATTCAGACACACACACATTAGCCCTTCAGTGACCTTTCTGTGTGACAGTGTTGTGCCGCTCTGCTCTTAATATTGTTACACTATAAATATCCCTCTCTTGTGTGTCACATTCAATACTGTCAACATTCAACAGAAAGCTTTGAATTTTGTTCCCAAACCCTACTAGTTAAAGTGCAACATATTCTCTGTGTATCTAAAACAACAACATTAGTGGCCACGGGATGCAACATGCAGGCACATACATACATGAAAAAATACAGAACATTAGTGATTCATCATTACTCACATCACAAACTGTTATGGTGCTGACATGATCTACTAAAGTAAAATATGTTTGCGTGTGGACATGCAGACGTATTGATATGTTTAAAATATGTGCGCTCCACCTTGGTGTACGGGACATGCGATGTAATTCGACATCGTCATTTCCACGGAAACCTTTAGCAAATGGATTATTCTCAATCTTCAGCTGAGTGATCTGAAAACAAAAGAGGATTAAAGATGAACACTGCTGCTTTCTGCAAATCTATCCATTTATTTACGATCATAGGACTGCTGCTGCTTACTGTGTGGTTCTGGTAGGAAGTTACAGCGATGAACGTCGTCTCGGGAAAGGAGTGTGTGCAGAAACTCGTGTTGCTGGAGCCAAAGCTGTTCCTCTCGTCTGCCTTCACGATGTGCAGGCGAGGTTGGTATTTATGCATGGAATTTAAAATGATCTGCGGCAAATAACAGGAAGAGATTTTCTGGTTAACCCACGGTGGGGAGTTGAATCACATTCATTAAATAAGCTCTTCAACCTGATTGACATCATTACTCACATGTCCGAAAGGGTCCAGGTGGTTGTTGGTGAGTTTGAGTTTCTGGAAAGAGACGAGCTGTCTCATCCAGTGAGCTCCTGAAGCTGGTGAGTCTGGGTGCACATACAGTCGGCCTGGAATCGCCGGCTCAGCTTTACCACTGATGGACCTGCAGAGGAGATAGGGAACGGGATAGTCAACGTTAAAGAAGACAAGGACTTTCTGTCTGCTCCACAACTCTAAGATAAAAGTTAAGGAGGCAAAACGAGTTTCTCTGCGTGGATCCTCCACTCACTGAACAATACAACCTCACCAAAGCTCATAATCATATGAGTCATGCATCATTTCACAACAACAACACAGTTCATTTTCTATTCATTCATATTTACACTATGCATTCCTTTCTCTTTGCATTCCCCCCTCACAGCCCAATACCCTACAATAATTACACTTGACCACTCTGAACATTTTTAATAAATTCCCAATTTTAATATTTTTGTAAAAGAATGAACATGTTGACTCCTCTATTCATTTATGAATATTAATATTACAATTTACATAAATTCAATTAAATAAATTCACTGTAGTTCTTACCATTTGTTATCTGCAAATTTATACCGATGCTCGTCGGCTGAAATAATGTCCATCAGTAAGATATATTTTGCTTTGGGATTTAGGCCTGTTACCTTCACTTTGTAGCTGGGAAACATCCGTCTGTAAAAGATTAAAGATGCATTATAGAGAGCTAACAACAAATAATAATAATCCATAAATGCATGTATGCATAGATACATACATACAACAATAATATTACAATGGAGCATTTTCTTGATTATCTCTGAGCACTGGAACATTTTCCTTATGTAAAGAAAGAGCTTTTTCTTTTTTGCAATTATGCAATCATTTATAATGAGAGTCCCTGAAACTATAACATATATTTAAAGACATTATTTGTTTATCAATTTTAATTTTATTCAATGTGGGCCAAATTAAAAAGGGAATGGATTTATTTGGAAATAAATCAAACCAAATATTTTCTGGTATCCATGAAAATGATGACAAAGTTTGCCCTATTTCTGTCTACTCTGCTGTCCTCCAAGGGCCCTTTGCTCCTGCCTGAGAATTATGTTGAAAAATGAATATACAATAAAGAGAATTACATATTTCTGAAAGAGAAAGAAAGAAAGAAAGAAAGAAAGAAAGAAAGAAAGAAAGAAAGAAAGAAAGAAAGAAAGAAAGAAAGAAAGAAAGAAAGAAAGTGTCACTCACCGACCAGCTTTGGTAATGATCATCTCTGTAGAGACATCATGAAATTTCGCCCACAGATCTCTCTCGTGCAAATAAACTTTGATTCCCTCCATACCCTGCATCGTTCAAGAAAAAAGGGGGAGGAAATGGAAATTACTGCTGATTTTTTTTTATTCTGTCTGAATATGTTGACGAATATAACAAACATAATAATAATATATTATTTAAATAAAATAAAGCGTTTACTGTCTGGTAATTATTTTGTACGGTTTTTTTTGTTTTTTTGTTTTGTTTTTTATAACCACGGTTTTTTTATTAGTCCATAAATGTGAAAATAGTCAAGAACGGCAATTAATAATATCGAATTTGAAAGCAAAATAAAAAGAATTTGAAGACACCCACAAACGATCTAAATTCACTGTGTAGCCTACTAAATACACGCAATACAAATAGGCCTAATACACTCATGTAATGAATGTGACGCTATATAAATGTATAAATTTGTTTTGTAAACATGATGTAGGCTATTCCCTTTTAGCTTTATCCGGGAAGTGAATATCATACGTGCAATAAACAATTTCCACTTAAAAATAAACAACAATACCACCAAAAATAATAATAACCACAAAATACACAAACAAAAAAAATGTGACAGCAGAATTATTGCCTTGTATACTCGGGGAGGCTGCACTTGCAGTCATGGCTGACCTGTTGGGAAGGCTGAGTTTGCAGTGGCGGCGACCCGGTTTTGCTCCGACCGTGATGTCCGGAATCTTTTTCGTTCTCGAATTCCATCGCTGGGGAATCGCCGCCGGAACACGATTGTAGAGATCCGAGCTCTAAATCCGCCATATCCCCGTTTGAGGTTAACTACGATGAATTACAAATAAACAAACAAATAAATAATCCACACAAACTCACATTGTTCTTTAAAAATGCGTTCAAACAGCTGATTTCTTTAAATTCTTGTGAAATGTGATGAAGTAGGCTAAATACTAAATGATTTAGCCTTGATTAAAAAAAAAGTTTCGAGTTTTCATTTTGCGTTCGATGATAAATCTGTAGGTTAGAATTTTAGGACAGATCGAGCGACGTTTTTTGGCTGAAATTGTCAAACGTTTAACGTTAGCTATAAATAATAGCTCATAGCCTGCAGACTTTTGGAAAATCTCAGGCTGCTTTATAGAAAGAAAAATCTTCATTTATTCCTAAATACTTAGCTACATTTATTTTGCCTCGCGCATATAGGCCTATTTTTTACGTCTCTTACCTCATCGTAATAAGGAGCTTTTCGTTGGTGAATTAATTATTCCAAAACAGATTTAAAATTCGTCCGCACTCATTTGTTAGGCAGTTTCTCCAAAAGGCATTTTTATCTCCTTGACAACAAATGAGAATATTGGCAAAAGCGTTTAGAACCTTTTCATTTTTGAGTTTCTCTTCTCAGACACCTCTACCAAGCTCTGTCCCTTCTCCTGTCGTGTCTCTCTTTTCTCCCTCCATCTGATTTCTCTGTCTCCCATTTGCGGAATGCCTTCTATGTCGTCACACCTTTTTCATTCACACACTCATGACACGCCATGTCCAAACTCACAAGACACGGCGACAAAATAAACACCACATTTCGCGAACTCCTATTTTCCTCCGTGATATATAGCCTAATTGTTCCTATGTGCTTCCCAAATACAACAACAACAAAAAATTGAGGAACAAGCATAAAAAGCATAAGAAGAGAAATTCACTATACTTACATGTATGGTGCAGAATTTATGCTCAGGTTGCAATTTGTGCTGTAAAAAAATCGGCTCTTTTCAGTCAACATCACTGCGCGCGACGGTTACGCGCGCGGCGGGGTTAAAAGTTTAGGAGGTCGAAAGGAGCGCTCTGTCCCCTCTCTCTCTCTCTCTCTCTCTCTCTCTCTCTCTCTCTCTCTCTCTCTCTCTCTCTCTCTCTCTCTCTCTGCGAATCCGTTTGTTTTTGTTTATTGATGATAGAAAATAAAATCTCCCTCTATAAACTTTGGAGATATTATCTGGTGAGTGTGTCCATGCACGCGCGTTCTCTGTCACTCGTGCACATTTTTAAACTGGCTTCCATAAATAAGACAAGTGGATGATAACAGGGCAGCTTGCACTACTGAGCCCGAGCCGTGGGAACATTGCTCGTTAAGATAAGACACTATCCCGCAATCGTGCGGCGAGATAAGGACAGGAGGACACACCACGGAGAGTTTGACGCCGAGCTCATGACTCGTCGGTATTTGGATTAGGCTCTGTTTAATGTGACGTTGAATGACAAACAAGATAATTTGGCAAATCGGTTTTCCTTACAATTCTGTCATCCAGAATCGACCTGACATGATGATCTGTAAACCAGACCTCGACCACTTCTCATATTTTATTCATAATAAATTCATATAGGTCATGATTAATATTTCCAAACAAATCAGTAGACGTATAAACATGCTACTGAAATTGTAATGTCGTGTAGACTTATTGCGACACCTCCGCTTAGGCTATAACGTTAAGTCGTCTTCGTTTTTTTTTATAAACGTCTATATTAGCATAGTGTAAACTGCTTTGAGCTCCGTGTAGCCAACGGAAATGACGCTTAAATACCCAATGAAATATTTATGTTCAAATAACACCTGACTGTCTACAACCATTCTCCAAGACACAGGTTGCGGGGGAAACCCAATTCATGTCTAGACAGTTCACTATTGTAGAAGAAAAATTAAACATATGTGTGTAGCGCAAATGCCTTCCAGCTATAAAAAAGGCTTTCTTTATCAAAGGACTCAGCATCCAACTTAAACATTCAAAGGTCTACGACTAGCACGAACATAGTGTTTCGGCTAAAATTTAGTGTTTGTTAGTGATTTCAAATTCCATATTTTATTTCTGATAGCAGTAACTTGTAAGTTTCTGGAGGAAAACGAACCAAATCTCCCGCCACTAACGCGCAGCTACGGTTAGTCAGTGAAATTAAGAAAGATAACAGCCTTTATATTATGTGTATAAACTAAGTATTTTTCCCTTATACATGTTCAAGAAATAAAAATAAAAGATGTCTGTATAGCCTTATATATAAGGTTATAGGCTACAGAAGTATGTTTTATATATATATATATATATATATATATATAAATAAAGGGCCATGTAATCTATTTGATGATCATGTCAAGACACGATTAAATAAAATTACTTTGAAATTACTTTGCTTTTTACCTGACTTTATTTAAATATGTGACCTTAAAGGGAATCCAACAAGTAATTATATTACATTACTTTCATAATGTGGTGTTTGGATTACGTTACTGAATACTTTATGAAGTAATTTGTAACTGCAACAGCATTTTAAAAGTGACCCTCCCAACCCTAATTGGAAAAAAAACAGCCAGCGGTGTGCAGTTTATACATGTAATGCTTTACTTGTTCTGTATTCAGACTAGATACAGTCGTCAGTATTATTTTCCTTCGTTAAGGCAAACAGCATACACCTATCAATTCAAACTCTGCCATCTCACATACTTGTCCAGTGTAAGCTTATGTATTATCTCTGATCTCGCTTAAATGGTTAGTTCACCCCAAAATTAAAATGTCTGTCGTTAATTACTCACCCTCATGTTGTTGCAAACCTGTAAGACCATCGTTCATCTTCAGAACACAAATTAAGATATTTTTGATGAAATCCGAGAGCTTTCTGTCAGTCTATGGGGGGGTCAGAAAGCTCTCAGATTTCATCAAAAATATCTTAATTTGTGTTCCGAACATAAACGAAGGTCTTATGTGTTTGGAACAACATGACAATGAGTAATTAAAGACAGAAATTTTGGGTAAACTAACCCTGTAGCATGGGAAAAAAGAAGCATACTTCAAAGAACAAACACACTAACCCACACAGACATAAGCAAGAAACAGCAAAAAAAATATGGTTCAATAGGCTGATTGTTTAGGCCAATTCCACAGTAGTCACTTAATATGACTTGAGTGTGTGTTTTCAGCCCAATCTGAAGGGCACTTCACAGAACCGTGCTCAAGCAACCAAAAACACTGCCTAACTGTAAACATGAACAAACATCTTAACACAATTCTACTTTTTTTTTAATGACCTAATTTGTCCACTCAGATTTTGGCTTTTGCCCTGTCAAAAGACCCTGAAAAGATAAAAATAAAGTTAAAAAAAACCTAAAACCTGAGAAGAGGAACAAAAAAAGAAGGGAAAAAAATCCAGCTGCCATAACAATGGCAATCTATAGGGGTCTTACCCATCTCTATTCTTTTCCAATCTTGCCACATGTTAGTAATTATATTCTATGACAAAAATGAGATGATACAAAATTCATAAACGTCCATCGTACCTTTAAGTTACAAAGTAAATTTGGAGTTAAAATACCAAGAAAAAAAATCCAGTATTACAGGAGATTTTCCATTATAAGCTGGTGTTTTTGTATAATTGTTACTTGAGAAATAACAGACAAACAAACATGCAAGTAACATTTATATAACAGTGTGACGGGTGAAATTCAATGAGTGGAACGAGTAGTTGGAAATCAAGATGATAGAAATATCAAATTATTACATTTCACAACATTTCACAATGTTCTTGGGGGGAAATGGCGAGTCAGCATATGCAGCAGAAAGGGGGAAAGCTTTCATTCTTATCTTTTACTGTCCAGGATATGTCTTAAGTTAAATGGTGCGTGAGAGAGACTCTTACGTGCGACAGACCCAGCAATGGTTCTCCATCATGCGAGTCTGTACACTGTGATGACACGTGTAAAGAGATGACGTGCGTGCATGTATGTTTGTGTTACAATGGGACGTGGCTGAACAAATATGAAACCGACTCCCCATTATGAGTTCGCCTGATGGCTTCAGCCAGAATCATAGAAATGTCGATCACCTGGAGAGGGAGAGAACAATAAAACGGTCAGAATGCTCAGAGTAAAGAACAACTACTAAAAATACTATCTGTAAAACAACCATATCAGATATAATATTCCAGAAGTTAATACCAGATTACACTACCATTCAAATGTTTGTTTGTTGTTGGGAAGTATTTAAAGGGACAGTTCACCCAAAAATGAAAATTATCATTATCATTAATGACTCACCCTCATGTCGTTCCAATCCCATAAGACCTCCGCTCACAGTTCGGAACACAGTTTAAGATATTTTAGATTTAGTCTGAGAGCTTTTTGTCCCTCCATTGAAAAATGTACGATATACTGTCCTTGTCCAGAAAGGAAATAAAGACACCAAAGTACTCCATGTGACATCAGAGGGTTAGTTAGAAAGTTTTGAAGCATCGAAAATACATTTTGGTCCAAAAATGACTAAAACTACAACTTTATTCAGCATTGTATTGTCTTTACGGTTCTGTTGTGGATCCGCGTGATGTGTGTCTGGTGTGGCTGAGCTTCGGTTACAGTCTGAGGGAGACGCACGCTGTAAACAAAACAATCTTCGCAAACATGTCTAAGGATTTCGACACAGAGGAAGACTTGCATTTTTTTGCCCATCCATATTTATTTGAACCCGAATACACGACACACCAGAAAACACGCCAGCAGCGTCTTACGTCATCAGCTTCACTGAGGACTCGTGAACGTGGATTGACAACAGAACCGAAAGACAATACAATTTGAATAAAGTCCAAAATGCATTTTTGATGCTTCAAAGCATTTTAATTAACCCACTGATGTCACATGGACTACTTTGATAATGTCTCTATTTCCTTTCTGGACAAGGACAGTATACCATGTATACATTTTCAGTGGATTTAAAATATCTTAAACTGTGTTCCGACGATGAACGGAGGTCTTTTGAGTTTGGAATGAGATGAGGGTGAGTCATCAATGACATAATTTTTGGGTGAACGAACACTTTAACACTTTTATTCAGGAAGGACGCATTAAATTGCTGTTCTTTGATATTCATTTTTTAAAAATCCTGAAAAAATTAGTTTTCACTAAATATATTCAGCTGCAACATTCATTCCTAGTTATAAATTCCTAGTTCCTTTATAGCAAAAATACTGGTGTTATTAAGAAATGTTTCCTGAATACCAAGTCAGCATATTAGAATGATTTGGAGGATCTGAAGGATCATGTGACATTGAAGACTGGAGTAATGATGCTGAAAATTCAGCTTTGTCGTCACAGGAATAAATCGTAATTGAAAATATATTCAAATAGAAAACACTTACATTAATTTGTAATAATATTAAAAAAAATTCCTGTATTAACTGAATTTTTAATCAAATAAAATCTAGCCTCAGCTAACTTTTAAACAATAGTGTACATGCATCACAAAACTATGTTCAAATTGTGAGACCATGGAGTTCCATATCACTGATTTGATTCAGATTCAGAAGCTTGAAATTCGATTCTGAATTATTGTATAATCATGTATATTACAATACTTATGTGACTGAAAACATTTGTTTGGATTATTTTTAAAAATTAGATTAAGAAGAATCGAAGAATCGATATTTAAAATGATTGTTATTATTTGGGAATCATTACCCATCCCTTAAGCGTAACAGTTTTTTTTATAAGATAAACGTCTGTGCCTGAATCTTGTTGCAGTGTTTGATTTTGTCCTCCTGTGGAATTGTGTTGGTGACAACGACGGCCTCAAAGTTGGCATTGTTGATCCGAGAAATGGCAGGCCCCGAGAAGATACCGTGAGTCAAGATGGCGTAAACTTTAGTGGCTCCTGCAGACACCAGTCTGATAGAGGACAAAGACACACAAATGCAGTTAAAACACAAGACAGATTACTAGGAAAATCATGAACGTGCATGTGTTTGAGCATGAAAGTGATCGTGTATCATGCGAGTCCTCACTTGTCAGCCGCGTGACATACTGTCCCACATGTGTCCGCCATGTCATCAACTAAAATCGCCACTCGGTCCTTCACGTCCCCAACCAGTACCATACGATCCACCTCATTGGCCTTCTTCCGCTCCTTGTGGATTAGGGCAAAGTCCACGTTCAGTCGGTCAGCGATGGATGTCACTCTGATAAAATGAACAAAATTCTTAGGTAGCATTCTGTACAACAGTGAGAAATGACAATGGATGCATTCAGGCTTCTCTGCAAGAGTCATATACAGACGCCACAGATAGGCCACATGCGCATATGTCAGTAAAAACTCCAGTCACAGTGTGTGCAAGATCACTCACTTACTCGAGTGCCTTAAATTGTTACAAAAGGGGGCGCTGCAGTCAGTCCATTTCTCCAGAAACCAATCACATGATGTAATCAGCATGATTAAATTAGCCAAGCTTTAAAAGGCCTCAAACAGATTTGAAAAAAGTGCCTACCACTATAATGTATAGCTAAAGGTTTATGCCAAGCCATCGACTGTTAGCAGAGAATCACACACTCACACATAAACACACCAAAAACCTGACATTTCCTTACCCTCCACACCTAAAAAGAGTAAAACACATTCATGTCCATCGTCTTCAAGAGCCTTATCAAAATTATGAACTACAATTCTTTATTTAACAACCTGAAAGGGCTATGTTGCTTTAAATCATATCTGCAACCCAATACTTAAAAAGATCACAAAATACTTTTTTTTTTAAAAAAACAAACTGGTTTAAAAAAGGATAAACAGAAAACTAAATGACAAGAATGACGGTGAAACAAGAAAAGAAATGGAGTGAGGAAGAGAATGGGTCTCAATCAATGATAATTGTGTAAATTATTCAAATGTGTACATGGTGGTCCAAATTTAGACCACGTGCATACAGACACTCGTTTGTTCTTAACCTTATTGGAATGTTAATGAATTTGGATTATCCTGAATTCACAACCTCTCGCCCAAGGTTAGTGATTTGTGTAAAAAACGCCCAACCATACATACATCTACATACACGTCTCAGTAATTTCACCTTAATGGCAATGAAAGAGTTACTTGTCAGTTATTGGTCAGGCAACAAAATTGATCAGAGAAATACATTAAAAACTCAAAAATGCTCATTTAAAAGAAAAAAAAAAAAAGATTTGAAAGAAATAAATATATATATATATATATATATATATTGGGTGCCCTATGTATAATTATATATATATATAAATACGCACACATGCTTGTATACATTTAAAAAATATTTTCATGTATATACTGTATATAGATTTATATTATATATAAATATTTTATACATAAATAATATTTTTTCTTAAATATACATGCATGTGTGTGTATTTACATATATATACAAAATAATTATACACAGTGCACCCTCATATATTATGTAAACACAAACTTTTATTTTGTATGCGATTAATCGTTTGACACCCCTACTAAATATGTATATATGTTTGTGTGTATTTTTAGCATAAATATATAAACATAAAAATATATATATATATATATATATATATATATATATATATATATATGAAGAGTTCAGATGCAAAAGCCTCTAAGTGCCATTTGAAATTTTCTTCTAGAATGATCATTTTTATCAAGCTTGTATATTTAAGTTCAGTGATTTCACTTAAATGGCAATGATAATTACCTATTAATTGTTATTTAAGTGAAATTACTGAACTTAAATATACAAGCTTGATAAAAATCACCATTAAAGAAGAAAATTTCAAATGGCATTTAGAGGCTTTTGCATCTGAACTCTTCATATATATATATATAACACGTTTCTTGTTTACAAGTCCACCGAGACTGATTTTTGCCTTTGTGTGGTTTCAGCTGACATTACATTTTTTGTTAAATTATTGTAAAATTTTAGTACAAAAATTTATGAAACCTGATTTATTTGTTTGTGAAAACCTTTGTACGCCGGTATCACGCATTCATTTCTACATGGGTCACTGAACGAGAACCTATGTTTTTGAGACAGGCAGGAGAGGAAAGAAAAACTCACCTCTTGGCTCCACCGGCATCAGGAGAAACAATGGTGCAATTCTTCCACTCATTGATGTTTTCCTTTATCCATTTGAGGACTGCTGGCTCAGCATACAAGTTATCAACTGGGATGTCAAAGAATCCCTAAAAAAAAAATAAAAAAAAACATTGACTTAATAATCATACCTTGAGCAAAAACATTAAAAAACTGAGTAAAACGGGGTGGGCATTACATTTCTTCTGCATTTTATATGTGCCTGACTGTAGCGTTACGTCACTGATCTCTGTTCATGAGAGATAAGGGTTTGTTTTGAGTCTGTGTTTGGAGGGAAGGCAGTTTACTGTGTGTACCTGAATTTGAGATGCATGTAGGTCCATAGTGATGATGTGGTCTGCTCCAGCTACAGACAGCATGTTGGCAACCAGCTTGGCTGAGATTGGAGCCCGACTCTGTCAGACAAAATTCCCAGTTGTAACTAAACATACACTCATCAATAGGCATCATCACAGCCATTAACAGGAAAAGAGCCAGCATAAAAAGCCATGCCTTAGAAGTTGCCAAGAGGCCAGAAAAGGAGAATACAAGAAACACACACTGACACCACAGAAGAAAGACTTACAGAAAGTAGACCACATGGATCCACCAACAGTGATGCGATTAATCCATGATTAACTGTGAGTACATGTTAATAAACAAGCTGTTTCTCTCACCCCCACCTTGTCCTTCTTGTCCTGCCGAGCGTAGGGGAAGCAAGGAATGACCGCGGTGACTCTGGATGCTGATGCAATCTTACAGGCATTGATCATGATCAACAGCTCCATAAGATTGTCATTTATTTCGCCACAGCCACTCTGGACAATATAGACATCTTCTCCACGCACACTCTCTCCTATCTCTACACTGCAGACAAAAACAGTGAAAAACACATACAGATAAGGAGGAGTTACTAAAGACAGAACACAAATAAATCTATATTCGTCAGCCTGATTAAAGAGGAGTATGTGCTATGAGCTGAAATTTGGTCTTCACTTCAAAAAAAGCAAACTGAAAGTGTTGCGTCAAGAACCTGGCTACAGCTACATTTATCACGAGTAGTCAGGAGGAGATAAAAGAGTAAGAGAGACATTTTATCATGGGCTAAAAGTCAATTATATAAACAGTGGCAGCAGACCCAACATGATTTTTCATCTTGAGAGATGTTGTGTATTTTTTAAATGACGTCGAATGTGTTCAGTAGTATTACAACTACGAATAATAAAATAATTATAAATAATAACAATACAGCTCCATTTCAAAATAGCACAATTAATAACGGGATGACTCCTCACGTGGCAGAGGAGGCCAGACGGGACGTTTAAAATTAGCATTAGCGGGCCCCAGAGTCACATGCTTAATGCAGGTGCATCCTGGGAAACTGAGTCTGTTGCATGTTTGAGGCGCATTGCGCCAGACGACAACTTCCAATTCCGAAAACTACAAACCAAAATAAAACATGGTTCCCATGTGTTTACCATTTCGTTTACCCTATAGCCAAAACATTATGGGAAAGCATAGTTTCCGTTTTAATTCTGACTGAAATTAACTCACCAGGTTTCCTGATTGCTGAATTTTTTGGTGACCACTTTACCCAGCTCGAGTCCCAGTCGATCCGCGATCTTCTGCGACAGATCCGGATGCGAACTGCCGCTAAAAATCTTTATATTTGGCATTCTTGGCTGATCCGTGGTGCCTATATTGTCGGGGTGCTGTACAGTGTTTTTTACAAAACACTGTAAGTGAAATTCTCTTCTACTTCAATGTTAACCTTAAGAATTTGAATGCAGAGGGCCTTGGTACCGTTTATCTGGTTTCGAGTCCGTCCACGCAGCAAATGTACTATGTGCTTTTGTGGCCCCGCCCCCTTCAAGCAAAACACACCCATAAACTGTGGCTTCTCAATTTCTGGGATATGATTGGATACATTTCTAGGGGCTAGATGACTGGCAGATATGTAACTATAATATCTAACCATCCAATTAAATATAACCTACAGTTAGAAACCAGTTAATTGGCCAAGATAGAAATGTCTTATGTCATCAGGCTTTTATTAAACCTGGCTGTCATGTGTATTATAGCCTACATACAGATGAAATAAACATTTTCAAGAACGAAAAGAATTTATGTAGTATGTATAGTGAATGTATTATGAATATTATGTATTACAATTTATGTAATAAATTCTGTTTGTTTATAAGTTCTGTAATTTACTGAAAATCTCTGGTTTAGTTAATATTGCACTCTTGTGGTAGAAGAGGTGTCAACCGCAGTGTGTTCCTTGAACTCCTGTTGTTGTTGTTTATAAAAACTGCTATCAAAGCTGATTTACAATGAGATATGTAGATATATTTAGGATTTAGTAGCCTATGAGCACAAACTAACTCGACAGAGCAGCAACGTTGGAAAACAGAATTGGTATAAATCATATTTGGTTAAATCAGATGTGTTCATATTATTACAAGTAAAAATTAAACAATACTGAAACAAGTGATCAAAAGCTCTTTTAATTAATATTTATTCCATAAACATGATTACAAAACTCAGCAAGTTACCAATATTACATTTGTCACCATACAGGCTTGATCACAAATATTTCAACTTTTGTGACAGATACAACAAAAACAAAATACTAGAATAATTTACATGAAAATCTATAAAACAGCAATGAGATCACAAATTAGTGTTATTGTTCCACTGTCTGTTTTCATGGTTTCTTTTTTATCTTTAAATTAATATATATTTTTACTAGAGCACAACATTCTTACAACAAGATTGGTCCAATTACAAAAACTCTCAACAAAGAGTCACAGCTTGCTCTCCTTCTCTCTCCTTTACAATAGTTTTTTATTTATTTTTATAGTATTTTCAATTTTTGGTTTTAAAACAAACAAACAAAAAACAAATAAGAGAGAGAGAAAGAAAAAGAAAGAAAGAAAACATGGCAATTAGCAACCTTTTCACTTGCCGAAAAGGGAAAAGAACAAAGCCACAGTAAGAACGACCTCACATCACTTTCTAAGAAAAATATACACTTAGAAAATATGTTACAAATTGGCACAATGAAAAATATACAGGTCATCATTTTTTTCCCTACATCAAAGTTCATTGAGAATCCACCTGGTGAACACAGACCAGGCAGTAGAAAGAGTTTCTTTTTTTTTTTCCTTGAAGATGAAAAAGGCAAAAGTAGTTACGAGTAATGCAGTGTCAAATAAATCATGAAAAAAAAAATACTTCCAACTTGACAATATAATACATTCATAAATAGGGCACAATTAAGTTTTTGATATTCTTGTTTTAACTTTATATGATGCACTTATAGGGGAATAACACTGTTTAGGAACTTTTAAAAATATGAACAGTTAGTGCAGGGGATGTGTGCTATAAAGTTTTCACTGGTGTAAAACTCTGTTCTCAAAATATGAACAAGAGCACCCTGCACTGGCATCACAGATGTCCTGCAGGTTTAGCAACAATAGGGCTATGTAAAAACAGTACAGTAGGGGGCACCGCTGAGAACAGCTTGAGTTTATGTCGAGATGGACAGCTGAGGGAACGAGAGATGTGAGTGCAGTTGGGTTCCCTGAGCCAACGGACCTGAACCAACTGCGTCACATCTCCATTCACTCAGCATGGGGAAAACATGGACAATAACCTTTCCCGGCAAATATTTCCTGGCGTTTTGATTGGTGAGGCTCATTTGGCTGGGAAGGCTCCAATTAGTTCAACCTAAAATCAACAGTTTTCACTTATAATTCTCACCACCAGTTGTGGAATATCACTCATCATCTGCACCTGTGTTCATCAACATTTTCTCCAATAATTTAACCTCAATTCATTCACAGCAATGTGAACAGCATTTGCACAAATACCCATTGAACTCTGAAATAGGAGGGTCAGTTCACAAACTAACCTGATGTGGTGAACAACTTAAGTGTTTCACACTCTGTCAACATAAGGAGAAAGAGAGAAAGGAGAGAAAAAATATTTTCAAATACATATTCACAAAAGAGGGGATCCAGGGAGTTGTACAATCCTGCAGCAATTTAGTAAACAGTACATGGGGGTAACCAAGTTGGCTTCTTTCCCTCTTTTTATAACACAACAAATAACATTCCAACAGCAATTGAAAAACAATGGTCTTGAGATCAGGTAAGAAAAAAAAAGAAAAACAGGCGAGTCAGAGAAAGTAATAATACAGGGGATCAGCATTCACAGCACATATTCATATGTTTTAAATGCATGCACATCACTAGCAACAAATTTGAAAAACTTTCAAACAATATTTGGTCCTGTTCTTATCTGGTTTTAAGGGGGTAAAATTCATAAGAGGTACAGAGCAAATATATACTGAAAGCTAAATTAGAAACTTGGGGATGTAAACCAGTTAGAATGCATTATATGTCTTGTTATGAGAAGGAATGATCATTTTCTTACCTTGTTAAAGACGAACAGTGATCTTTTACCATCCAGAAATAAATAAGAGTGAAAGGCAACCAATACATTTCTCTGCCATTATAGCACTTCCTACCACCAATTGTTGTCATGCATCTCTCACTTCATGCCTCTAAACTGGAACTAGCCAAGAGTGTAAAACCGAAAATAAACAAACATTTTTTTTTGATTGTTGAGATGACTCCTCGCAGTTTGTAGAGATGTGATGCAACAGGAGTGAATCTCAGGTTAACAACTCCCCCCATCCCAAGCGCGCACGCACACACACACACACACACACACCTCAATCACTGCCACATTATAAAACAGCAAATATTTATGTAGATAAAAATGTCTGTACATTTAATTGTTCATAGTTTGGCACATTAATTTAAACATGTTTGATATAATCTTGTTTTGTAAATAGTGCATATGTTTGTGTACAACAGCATTTTGATACTGGCAGGAGATTCACTGGAGAACAGATGAATGAACCCCCTTTTCACAACTTATAAACAAACAACAATGAAAAAAAAAATCTCTTTCGGAATTTCAGAACCTCAGAAAACGAACATCTTGGTGAGGACGCTTTCTTTTAGCTTGTCAAAGCCCAATGTTCTGAGGGGTTGGCACAGAAACGAGGGGAAAAACGATTCTTAGCACAGAATACTACACACGACCTTTGACCCCTGAACAGAAGGCAACCATTTGCTGAGAGACAGAGAAGGGCGCTGGGCTCGATTTAAACCATGGTGCTGTGACACCGATTTAACACATACAGTGTTATAGCTGCAACGGAAAACAAAAAGACAAAATATTGATATTTAGATAAACACCACACTAAAAGAGAATCCAAAGACTTTCAAGGCATTTTTCTTCTTGTAAAACAAACAAAACAACTAAAAACAACTGAAAATTTGTCAGGTAAAAATGCAACAAAGCAGCAATGGTGAGTAGGGTGCAGCCATGTCAGTCAGTCTAGTAGGTAGTTTAGCAGGGCTGACATGCAGGATGTGCCTGCCTTCCGGTGGGCTAGGCAAAGGATTGTGGGTAAAGTCGGTGCCATGCAGCTCTGAAATGTGAAAGGATTTTAGGAGGATTTGGCAGGGTGCGAGGGAAGGGAACGGAGAAAGAGAAGGGGCACATTGCAGAGAGAAAATATTACCTCCGTTTCTCTACCAAAGCGGTCAATGCTACTCCTTTTATGTCCCTTTTGCCCGCTAAGAGTTCCTCACGGGCAAACTTAGCACTGCTTTTGTGACGGTACATTTTTTTGTGGGCTGGGCGGTGGGGAAGTGGGAGGCAGTCTAGTCCAAGGGTAGGAAAGAAGCCTGGTGGGAGAAGTTTAGGCAGTGCTTTACCACCCCGCCCAGCCCCTTTCTTCCCTCGACCTCCGCCTGAGGTACCACTCCGCTTTTTAAGGTCAGCGGCGTTACCCAGAATCTTCAGTGTCTGGCTCTGGAGGGCATGTTGACCTGGTGACAGGCAAGGCCCCCAAAGAGGTTCCACAGAGGCCCTCATAAAACGCTGTACCTCAGCCATGCCAGACACTATATTGGACAGGATGTTTGATGGTTCCTGGAATTCTCGCTGGTCATCGTTTGATAGTCCCCCAGTAATAGGCCACTCCCCCTGAGCTCCAATCACGCCAAGCGATGGGGTGGGGGATGAAGCGCAACTTCCTGACCCTCCACCACATTTGGCTGCTTTTCCCTCCAGCAAAGCTTTGATCTTCTTCACGGAACGAGAACCCTGACGTGGGAGCTTTGCTTTCTCTCCTTTTACTGTTTTTGGAGTTTTGGTCTTTTTAGTGCCTTGTCCATTTTTCCCACCCTTTTTCGTAGAACCTTTGTGATCCCTTAGCCCTACATCTCCCTCCTCTGTGTTGAAAGACTGTACCTGAAGGAGATGTGGGTTTCCATCTTCATTTAGTTGCGGGACAACTCCACAGTTCCATTGTACATTTGCTTCTGCTGCCTCAGAGAACTCTCCAACTTTACCACAATTCCCCAGCAGCTGTGGGGAAGAGTTAGGCGTGTCTGGTGGGGACATCTCGGATAGCGATGAATGACGGAACTTGTCAGGGGTAAAGTTGGAGATATCCAGAAGGTCAGTGGACTCTCGAAGTGGAGCAACCTCCTCTAGACTTTGCTGCAAGATGAGCCGTGGACTGCAATGTGGCAAGAAGCCATCGTTGATCTCACTGATCTCTTCTTCCCTCTCTCTTTCACCCTCTCTTAGGCTGAGCGAGCTGTAGTTGCTAGAGGTGGCAGAAAGTGACCCAAGGGAGTTAAAGCTAACCAGTCGCCCTACGCCACTGTCACTCCGTGACCCAGCCGGACTCAAGCCATAATCAGCGTCAGGTTGGGACTCTTCATATGACACCCTGCACCCTGATAGAGACACTTGCCCATACCCTGCGACATTTGTGCCATCCCCTGCTAACACAGGCAATGGTGTGGGAAAGCCTGATGGCATCATAGGCGACTGGGTTGGGATGTCTGGGGAGAAGGGCAGCTGTTCAGCAGATGGTTGGGATGGCCATGAAATGGGCTGGGTCGGTTCAGTAAGGTTTGGCTCAGCATAATGTGTGTGGTTGGGCCCGAGGTTCATGGGTGGAGGAGAGTGGGGCAGCTCAGATTCAGAGGGAGGAGAGAGAACACAGCTCTGGACTGGCTGAAGGGTGGGATTCTGCAGCCCTGGATGGAAATAGGTGATGTTAGCAGTGCTCGATGACTCAGAGGCTTCAAGAAGAGTCTGCAGGTATCCCCCCGGGAGGAGTTCAGCATTTCCATTAGTCCCTGGAGCTGTTGGGGTCAAAGTGCATTTTTCAGGGTCATTACTGGAGGTTTCATTTGTAACATTACCTTCTAAAGAGTTACTAAGGTTTTCTGGTAAACATGGGCTGCACTGCTCAATCTCAGAGGCTTCAGTGACTCCCTGTCTCTCAGAGTCTTTTAACTGTTTCAAACGAAGTCTTGCTTCACTTTTAAACTTCTTTATCTTTCCTGTTTTACCTGCCTTTCTTCTTTCCTCTCTCTCCTGTGTTCTGCTTTTAGCCCTGGCAGTGTGCGTAATGGGGGTAATGTCATCTTTTGGTTCCTCTGTGCTTTTCAGTGATTCAGTCTCCTCTGGCTGATTGTTAGCGTGGACCACTATAGTTTGGCTGGGGAGGGAATTCTGTACTGCATGGATCTGCTGGATTCTGAGTCTGGCCAACCTGTGCTTGCGTTTGGGTGTAGTGTTTGGCGGTCTTTTGCAGCCATTGAGACGTTTGGTTGTTTCTGCAGCTGTCAATCTATTCTGTTCCTGCAACTCCTTTTCTCTTTTCTGCCAGTAAGCTTTCAATGGTGCAAGTCTCTCATAGCGTAGCAGAGCATTTGGACTCAAACAGACTACAGAAGGTGATGGGTCCACTCGTCCCAGCCGCACTCTCATGTGCCTCTGGCCTTTAAACCGATTAATGATTATGTATTTTATAATGACAGGTGGGTCCTTCCTACTGGACCGCCGCCTCTTTTTCGGACACCAGTCATCATCACGCTCTTTCTTGAGCCCAGCAGGCTGTTTATCTCGTTTCTCTGCGTTTTTCTCACTTTCTATAGAGTCCACATCATACAAGTAGTCTTCTCGGTAGGCCACCTTCCTCTTGGCTCGGAGGCGGTAGCTTAGCTGGCTGGAGGAGCTGGAGTTTTCTCTGGACAAACGGCCATGGCGAAGGGAGAGCGCGTGGTCTGGGGAGCCTGTGCAAGAGCTGTCATCACTGAATTCACCAGAATCTTCTGGAGAATTACTGAGGTCAAAAAGAAAGTTACTGTCTGGGCTAATATTGGGGGTTACATGGTCATCACCCTTAATCTCAATGGATTCGTCTGTTTTCTCTTTTGGCCCCTCCTTTCTACTGCAAGGTAAACTAGGAAAGAAACCTAGCTGAGATTCATCCTGTAGGGCAGACTCACTTCTCTCCTGTATTCCATCCTGATAGGACTCGTAGCGTATCTTAAGTGAGCAGACGTCAGCACTGAGTGCTGTCTCCTCCTCTTGAAACATGTAATTCTCCACATCTTCTTCACAGAACAGATTGACAGCAAGTTCACTGCGAGAGCATAAGTCCAAGAGCTCCATACGGCTTTCACTGATGAGTGTCTCTAGACAGCTCCAGTCCTGCGCCTCCTCTACAAGACCTTCGTATATGCTTCTGGATGCAGGATCCTCATCTGATTCGCTCTCCTGCATCGACCTCCCTTCCTCAGCCCCCTCATTGGATACAGCTGGATGGGCGGGGCCGCTGAGCAGCTGGTCAGATAGAACCTGGTCACCATAGCGACCTGCGCTGGCGGCGGGGCCAAGGCATTGCAAATTGATGCTGGCAAAGCCGAGTACAGACTCACAGGATTCCGGTTCTGTCTGATTTTTGGGGATCAGACAACTAAGGCAATCTCTGCCCCTGGAGTCCATGCTAGAGAGGGATGACCGGTCACAGGTCTGCGGCACAGACCAGGGCGTCACAGGTTTGGAACAGGGCACAGAAGAGAGAGATGAGAGGGAGGAAAGAGAGGAGAACGAAGAGAGAGAGGATAGAGAGGTGGTGTTGGAGACAGACCCATCATGCAGGTCAGCTGGGCTAAGGGGACCTTCAGAGGTCTGACTCTGGCCACAGAGGGAGGGCAGGGACAGCACTGCAGGAGTGATGTCATCACAGCGCCTTAAATCATGTGTTACATCTGCCAACGGGTCATGTGGTTCTAAAAAAAAGTAAAAAAACAAAAAGAGGGTGAGACAAAAATCAGTGAAATTCAAGTTTTTCCCGTCAAACATCTGTAAAGATTTTAAAGATATAAAGTGCAATGATAGTTCTTAAAATGCTGCATATTATATGCATGCGAGAACTCCTACCATTTTCACTGGCATCTCTTGGGCAGGGGCTATGATCTGCCCCTGAGAATCGAGACTCCTGTAGAACATCCATCAATTTGAACTGAATCTCTCTCTCACTAACATAATTACCACTGTCCAGCCTGTAGAAACACAAAGACACACATACAGGCTATAGTGGAAGCCATGCAATCTTTAAAATCTGTCAACGCTAAAGTCTGGGGGGAACACTTTTCAGAACTCTACATTTGACCGATAAACCAGTCATGTTTATTTTTGGTAATTTAGTAATGTGTTAATGTATTATTTTATTAGATTCTGTATTCTCAGTGACTTATAAATGAAGACTATAGCAAACAATTTGTTATAAGAGCCAACATTATTTGCACTACACAATGGCAAGTTTAAAGTATAAAATGACTCTAAATGAAGATAATAATAAAAAGGTTCAGAAATTAGAAAGTATCAGTTCTTAGCCAATTAATAGAAAAGAAAACGTAGGGAATTCTCATAAAATTCTTTTGTGTTACATCGGGGTAAGTCATACAAAACATTTAAATAGACATGATGGTGGTATTTTACTTTTTTTGGGGTGAAATATTCTTTTAAATTTATCAACAGCTAAAATGACAAAGAATGTTGTTATTTAGCGGAACTTTAGCTGCAGGTTCAGTTTTTTTTCGATGTTCAAAACTTCCGAGAATTGAGAAGAGAATATTTATTTACCATGCCAACTAGGAGTTACAAATCGGCCTTCTCTCTCTAGTACTTCCTTGATTTGTGTCCCGTTTTCCGTTCCGCTCTCTCACTTTTACTCCCAAGGATTACAGTAAGTTGTATTGCTTTACATCATTCTGTCCTCTGACTGCCCTTCACTGTGAAGTACAACTCTTGAGGATGTGAAAGAAATGAAAGAGCTTTGTAACAGGAGAGACTGAGAAAAAAAGAGTGCTATCTCTTGCCTTAGGCTGTGTGTGCATGTGTCAGAATAGTGTGCCATATATGCAAGTAAAAAGACATGCAGCTTTTTATTTAAAAAAATAAATAAATAAACATAACACAGCCGCTTACGGGAGAAATGCTCTAGTACACTGTTTGAAGTGTTCCCATGAGGTGAATTTACATAGGAATTCAGAACTGACCTATTGAAGATACATGAATTGCACAAGAGTTTTGAAACTGTTGAGTGAGCATTGTGTGTATTTCAGGGGTTTGCTGCTCCAATTACATTATTTTACTACCAGAAATAATGTAATTTAAACAAAATTAATGAAAAAAAAAATCGAATTTAATTATCACTTGGAATTCCATATGAAACTTTAGTGGATACATTCAATTCCAATTAATATAACTGATTTGGTGTTACTATTTGTATTGTTCAACAAACAATATAATTCAGAAATGTATTTATCAAATGTTATTAAAACATGCTTCTGATCATAAATACATCAACATTTACCTATACCTTAAAATCCATGATGTTTCTGGGCAAACTATTTTAATAAGCTGTTACTATCAACAGCACATTGGTCTTATATACCATAAATACATTGATTCTCTGTATAATTTAGAATATCATCAGTGTTTTCACGCTTGTTGGCAGATTAACCCAAGCAAGGAAAAATTCCATAACTGTTTTACGGGTCTGGAAATGGCTATGATCTAGGATTTGCTCCTTCCAAACCAGTGCCAGTATGAGAAAAAGCCCAGGGCTGTTCTGAGAACAGCAGGCTGGGCTCATTCTTGCCAGCTTTGCAGACAGAGACAGAGAACAGGGCAGTGGCACTGTCTGCAAACTGCTTTTATTAAAAACGAAATTAATATTTATTCAGCTTCAACATCCACCCAAGAGACAGACAATGGAATTACAGGAGAGAGAGAGAGAGAGAGAGAGAGAGAGAGAGAGAGAGAGAGAGAGAGCACATCGGTGTGAGTTTGTTAGATCTTTTTCAGAGATCGATAAATCTGCTGCAATCTGTCCTTCCTTGGTCATCTGTCAGACAAGCAACCAGAATATCAAACATCCATCCATCCTATATCAATAAAAGCTTTACTGCACTACTTAACTCAAGGTAGAATGTTTAAACACTGACTGCAAGTCTGGCTTCTGTATGGAAAACAAACAGACCAATTCTGATCGACTGATTGATTGATTGATTGATTGATTGATTGATTGATTGATTGATTGATTGATTGATTGTCGAGAGACCTTCGGTTCTGTTAAAGCCGTACGTTTGCGGTGCAGCATCAAAGAAACTTCCATAACAGCCTTCTCAGGACAGGTAGCCTATCCGGTGACAGACAGGTCCTATACTCCAAACATGATTATATCAATAGCCTGAAAGAGGAGCACGCTTCCAACATCTCGGATTATAATTTCAAGATAATTTACATTATTCAGAGAGACGTAACAGGTTTGAGTCCACCCTTAATTATTGAAGGCCTGGTGCGCTATGATACGCGCTTTGCATCCCCCATCGCCAAATGCCGCATCGCAGAGCACCGAGCACCAGCAAAACGCGGGGGGAAATGAAAATGCGTAAAACGGCACATACAGAATATCGCCAAATAACATCGTTCGTGTTATTGCTCTGTGTGAACGAATGCGTATGTAACTGTGGCCTTGGCTTAGGGGGATGGTGTGTACGAGCGAAAGAGAGAGAGCGTGTGTGTGTGTGTTTGCCTCACGTAGCACCAATGTTTTCTGTCCCCTCAAACGATGGCCTGCGACTCATAGCTTTCGCAGGACACTGAGCCATTCCTCCTCCTCATCTTCTCCCTCACTCACTCTCTCACATACACACACACCTGTGCAATATGGAGGCATCATGACAGCTGACACTCGCTCCACCATTTCACCCCATTGCAGCGTTTGACGCGCGTCACACTGGCCCACTCACCGCATCACGCACATAAACACGCACAGCCCACATACTCACCTCCCGTTACACTCGGGCCGCACGTCCCGTCTGCTCTTAAGACTCCGTTTGATCGCTCGGCGGGTGGAATGTTGTCATATGTTGTTGTTGTTTTTTGTTTTTTGTTACCCACTTCAATGCAGTGGTCTCAACATGTTTCCCCTCTCTCGGGAGCCAGGACTGCCTTCCCGGTAGCAGCAGGTGGACGCGCCTCTCGCGCCTCGGAGCCCCTACCACTCCATTTTATTCCCTCGCGCTCCAGGGTTTCCAGGAAACAAACAAAGGTCTGCAGCAGCCCCTGCTCCTCGCCGCATGCTCCCTCTCTCCCGTTCCGCTCTTCCCTTAGAGTCGCTTTTGTTTTTTGCCGTATGTGCTTGTATGACGGAGACGGGGGTGTGTGTATGTGTTTTTCCCAGCTGTACCCCGTCCGTCCCTGACAACGACGGCGCGCTCGTGCGCTGCTGCTCCCCCTCTTTTGAGACCTGCCATAAAGAGCGCGCCCCCATATTTTGCACGGCGGCGCGCTGTGGAAGCGGGAGCGCGCGGCACTGCTGAACAGGTGCAGAGGCGCACGCATGCGCACTGATGCTTCACAAGCTCCAAGCACCAGCTAGGGGTCTCTGCAGATTTAGTTTATTTCTGCTTATTTATAAGCTGGAATTACATGCGCAGTTACTTTAAATAAATCTAATTTAAAAGTAAATATCAGCGAGGAAATCTGAAAACCAAAATTTAGTTGAAAATAAAAATAACCTTTACGACACTGGTAATATTACACACACGCAGCCATTTACTTTAGATAAATAAATGTCAGCGAGGGAATTTTAAAATTACAATTAATCTTCATCTACGAAACTGGTATTACAAATACAGTTACTTTGAGCAAACAAATAAAAACTATTTGCGATTTAATTTTAAAGCCAATATTTTTTAAATAATTGAAAATGAAAATTATCTTATTTTTTTCATGTAGAAAACTTGCAATCACGCTCTCTTTACACAAACACTTAACACTATTTTTTTATTTTATGTTTGATATACATTAATATTTACTCAAATATGTACCATATGTTCTGCACTTCTGGTGTGATGCTATCTTTTACCTTGTAATTACCATAATTCACTGCAAGTGAAAAGAACACTTGCTTGAATGAGGGTCGTAGTGTCCCGCCCCTTACGTCAGTGAGCTTTAGATTGGCGTAATTTCTATCCAATCATGTGAACATGGGATATGACGTCAGGATGTTGTTCCCGGGCGCGTGCGTCATGTATCATGATGCGTCTCAGATAGTGGATCATTGAAAACCTTATGTGGAAAAGAACAGCCAACATTTAAGTGGACCAGGTGGTTTTGTGTTGTTTCCTTCTTGTGGTTTTAGTCCTATGGAAACGGATGTTATCGAAAAGATGCCGTGCCATAATCAGCAGCTGAATAACAATGAAAGCCCCGAACACGCCGCGAAGCACGTCCGCTTCGCCCGCAGTAGCGCTACTGCCGAGACCTGTCAAGATGACACGGAACCGTGTGAAAACCAAACCATGAGTGACATCCAGGGACAAATAGGACCTCAGCTGAAACTCTTGCCATTAAATGACCAAATACGAGAACTTCAGACTATCATTCGGGATAAGTGAGTCTCCAGTCCGCCTTTTAAACGGATTGAGTGCACATTTCGTGTCCCCATAGGCCAGATCTGTAGCATAATTTTATGTGTACAGGAACATAAACTTGTAACTCAGAATGTATCTAAATGGTAATAAACTGGGAAATAGCCTTATGCCATTTGGTTGCACATCAATCAACATGTATTATATATTGTAGTAGTTTGTCACATAGTGACTTTTCTTCCTCTGTCTCATCCAGAACTACCAGTAGAGGTGATTTTGTGTTCTGTGCCGATAGATTGGTAAGCATCACCAAAAAATGGTAAAGAATTGTGGCATATTGTCTTATATTCTACTAACCAGCCATTATAAAGACCTTATAAATAATAATAAAGGCAGCTCACACAAGAAATTTTACAATCAACACATTGAATGTATCGTTGATTATTTGTTTCACATTCATTGATTGCTTTTTTTATTTGACCATATTTATTAAAGAAACAAAACTTGTTTTTTTAGTATTGTCAAATTAGTAGGTCAACTCTTATGTTTTGTGTTTGGTTTTCTACACTCTATTCTGATTGGTTGTTTGTTTTGCTCTCAGATAAGATTAGTGGTGGAAGAGGGTCTCAATCAGCTTCCATACAGTGAATGCACTGTAACCACACCAACAGGTGAGCCTGTTACCATGGTGATTACCCCCCACCCCTCTTCTTGCATATGACATGGCATTGCTGCCATCAGTTGTTGAATTTTTCCGAATTAAAAAAAAACAAACTAATCTATACTCCTTATGCAGGGCATAAATATGAGGGTGTGAAATTTGAAAAGGGAAACTGTGGGGTTAGCATCATGAGAAGTGGTGAGTCTCTTTCTTTCTCACAAATTCATACGCACACAACCATGATGGAAAAAAACCCAGCCCTACTTAGTGTGCATGCCTTTAATACTTAACCGTATATTTTAATGTGAGCAGGTGAGGCCATGGAGCAAGGCCTGAGGGATTGCTGCAGGTCAATCCGTATTGGGAAGATTCTGATCCAGAGTGATGAGGAGACACAAAAGGCCAAAGTTTACTATGCAAAGTTTCCTCCTGACATCAGCAGAAGGAAAGTTCTGCTCATGTACCCTATTCTCAGTGAGTAATTCATCTCTATAACCAGGCATTAGGCCGACCCACATTCTGCACCGATTTGGGGGGAAATCTGGATTTAAAAATGGTCAAATAGTGCATTTAAAGAGACGATTTATTATTGTATGTGTTCAGGTACAGGTAACACTGTGATAGAAGCGGTGCGGGTGCTGAATGAACACGGGCTGCTGGCCAAACATATCATACTACTGAGTCTATTCTCCACTCCACACGGTAAGAAACAAACACAATGACGACATCATAAATGTCTGTGTTTTATCCAAGTCCGTGTCAATAGCACTCTTGGTAACAAACAAACAAGGGACATTTATGAAACAATTTGAACTTAGCTGTATATTTGGATTTTCTAAGTCATTTATACATTTATACGCAGCCCTGAAGTGTCAACTAGACTATCCCCTACGTAGGCTCATCGACAAGTCATTCTTTTTCACGACAAACATTTTTACTCTATACAGATGAAAACGTTCTCAAAATGATTCCCGTTCACACGATACGTGGAAACAACTAAAAACGCTGTATTATGCATGCCAGACAAGTAATTGGCAATGTCACTTTGTAAGAAAGACTACCCGCCCACACATATATGCACAGATTCACTTTTTTAGAATTTTACACTTTTTAGAATTTTACAGATGTGAACAGTATCGCTTTTAAAACTCGTTTTGTAAAACTTGCCCTTTGAAACCTATTTTCAAAGTTTGCGTTTGCAGGACACCAACACACTGTTGTTGTGTAAATGAACAGCCAGAACGCATTAAAAAGTTTTCTGTTTTCAATTAAAAATGGTGTGTAAGCAGTAATGACTAATGATTTTTACAATGGAAATTAATCAATTAAAAACTTAGACAAAAGCTAGACAATGACTTTCATTTAGAGCTGCTGTACAGCCAAAACAATCTTTGCTATTTTCACTGTAAAGCTGCTTTGAAATGGACTTATAAATGATATACTGTACTATTCAAAAGTTTGAGGGCAGTAGGATGATTTTAAAACAAGTCTCATGCTCACCAAGGGCTGCATTTATATGATCATAATTACATTAAAACCACAATATTTTGTAATATTACAAATGTAAAATAATTTCCTTGTGAGAGCAAAGTTATTTTTTCAGCAGCCATTACTCCAATTTTTAGTGTCACATGATCCTTCTGAAATCATTCTAATATGCTGATTTTGGTGCTCAAGAAACATTTCTTATTATTATCAATGTTGGAAAAGGTTGCGCTGCTTGTGGAAACATTTGTTTTCAGGACTTTTTGATTAATTCTAAGTTAAAAAGAACAGACGTCATTTAAAACAGAAATCTTTTGTAAGATTATAAATGTCTTTAATGTCACTTTAGATTTAGTTTTATGAAATTTAATGCAGAAAAACATTTATTTCTTACTATATATATATATATATATATATATATATATAGTCATTTTTTTAATAGTGCACACTGCACCTCCATAACAATGTGTGTAATGTGTGCAGGTGCACGGTCCATTGTTCAGGAGTTTCCTGACATCACTATACTGACAACTGAAGTTCACGCTGTCGCTCCGACACATTTTGGCCAGAGGTATTTCGGCACAGACTGACAAACCACCAATTCCACAAAAGTTCACTTGGATTCATCTGAAGCCTGACCAGCTCACAGCAAGTGTCTGTGTGAGTGTGAGATTGGTTGATCAGGGCTGGCCTCTGTATTTTTATTGGTTATGTATTTATCCATGTTTAATGTGAGCAAATGGATCAAGTGATCTTTCAAAAACACGTGCTTTTCCATGATACCACCAGGATTAAAACAAACTGTGTTCTAGACTGTTCCTGAACACTCTAGAATGATGCAAATAAAATAACTACAAATAAAAATATTTTGTATTAAATGAATTGCCTTTATTTTCATAAAATCTGTTATTCAATTCATCTAGAAGACACTATTCAATAGACTCACGGTAAAGCTAGAATCCAGTCTTACAACAGAAAAACCACTACATTTCAGCCACACAAATATTGAATTTAAAAGATGATCGCTGAGCAGGGACACCTGATAAAGCTCTCTCACACCCTGATCAGTAAAAGAGGTTTCGGAGACCTGATCGCTCCCTTAGGAAGTGTTCCAGGTGAAAACTGAGCATGCGGGCAGGTGTTCTCCCTGAAGGCCGGCCGCCACTCCTGTAAGCTTAACCTGTGACTGAGATCTTTCTAAAACCACCTCGCTGTGTCACACAACACATTCTGTTAACCTAAAAAGACAAAAAGACTTTTCTATTATTTGGATTTCATTTGAACACTGCAGAACAAGCATTTCTCATACCTTATTTCATTACTTCTAGTCATCCACTGCTATGGTTACGGAGACCCCCTCATGTGAGACTGATGGCAGAACAGGATGATACAAATGGCTCAAATCAGAATTTTCGATTAGGCTGTGCAGACCTGGATTGGCCTCCCGGGGGCAGTATATACTTAGAGTCTGAACCTCCTTTTCCCAAAAATCTAAATGAAAAAAAAGATAAACTTTGTATTACAATAGAAGATTCCATATGTTTATCTCCTAAACTGACAGTTACTTCTGAGAAGACTATTCAGAGTGCTATTTAGAGTTACTGGGGACATTTTAGAGTGTGTGTTCGTAATCCTACTCTTTGTGATAGCACACTTAAGTTAATGACAAAAGCAGAGAGGAGATCACCTTCAGAGACAGTGTGAGAACTGGGATAAATTCAGTCTCCCTCTAAATAAAAGATTTCCCAAACCATTCCGACTACAGTGCTGCTGACACATAATTAGATGACTCTCTCTAAACCGGGAAGCTGGACTTGGATTGATGAATCAATTTGTTCAATTTTTAAATATGATTCAGATTTCTTACCCACAGTTCCTTCCATGACACAATGCCCATTTCCATTTATCACCGAAGGACTGCGAGACGACATCTGCCATCTCAAGGGGAATGAATGTCCATCCCCTTGACTGAGATAGATATAAAAGAAACAGTTGGTTAACATAAGCTATGGCATCTGTGCTGTGGCACTAAATGAAAAAATATCACACGTCTTTGGCTGGTTTCACAGACCAGGCTTAAACTAATCCAGACTAAAATGCATGTTTGAGACATTTAAACTGAAAGCAACTTGCTCTGACAAATCATGAATTCGTCTCAAAATTCACACCAGTAATGTTTTCTTCTAATGCACATTTATAAATGCTACTTAAATGTCCTAATTCAACTAAGGCCTAATCCTGGCTTAATCTAAGCCTTGTCTGTGGAACCAGGCCCTTAAATGTTTGTGACTGCTGGCTTAGATTAAATATCCATTCACTAAACAGCGAATAGCCAGTATCTAACAAGGAAATGCAGTTTTGAAATTCATCAATACTGGGATTTTAATCTGAAAACTGAAAAATGTTGTTTTTCATTCTTAAAGCAGTGTACTTAAGCAAAGCGAAGAAGAATGCCTAAAACTCCATTAACTACTGAAAGACCAGCCTTGAGTGTCATTGCCAACAGGCAGCAATGTAAATGACAGGAAGCATTAATACACAATTTTAAATTAAAAGGCTCTTTATCTCTATATTTGATAAAAAATAAAAAAAATAAAAACAGTAATATTGTGAAATATTATAGCAATTTAAAATAGCTGTTTTCTACATTTGCATTTTATTTAATATAGAAATCTTTTGTTGCATTGTAAATGCTTCACTATCACTTTTTAATTTCCTGCAAAAACTAGTTTTTATAATCGGAAGGCTGTTTATGGGTCCCATCAATGGTGATTACTGCTTAATACTGACCTGCTAAACACTGGAAACGGCCAGTGTCTCTTTTTCTTTCCAAACACCTGTAAGAAGTTTGCCCTGACACCCACATCAAATGCTTCACCTCCTGGTCCATCCGCAAAAAAGGGGACTGACAACCACTCTGAGAGAAAGAGAGCAAGAGATGTTAAGACGCCTACAAAACCTCATACAAATAATGTGCATATGTGAAATGTAGGTTTTACCAAGAGTAGTTTTGTTGCTGGCGAGCAGCCAAATGTGGAAGAAGAGCAAAAAACAGAGGGTAACAGCAAACATGGCCGACACCAGTGTCAAAAACAAGACATGCAGTTTAACACAACTATCGAACAGTTTGCCCTGAGAGAGAGAGGGGGAAAAAAATCATTGTTTGCTTACAGCAAATTAACTAATGTTAACATACAACTTTTGATTGTAAAATGTGTTCGTAAATGTTGAAATTAACTTAATTGTTCATTCATAGTAGTGTAGTAATCTAATGATAACACATGAAAACTTGTAAATGTTACCAAAATATTATATAAATAAGAATTCAATATACTGCAAAGATAAAACATATATATCAAATTTACTCGCAATCACTTAAATTGTATTTACACATGTGGTAGGTACTTTTTATCCAAACTTGAGCAATATACTTTATTACAACTAGTGTTAATTTTGACAGCAAATTTTGATTTAGTTTTAGTCTTTTGACTAAAATGCAATTTAGTTTTAGTCATATTTTAGTCATCTGAATTGTTTTAGTTTCAGTCTAGTTTTAGTCGACGAAATTCAATATGATTTTAGTCGACTAAAATATAATGGGTTTAGTTAAATTGTAATGCATTAATTTAGAATTTAGAATAGAAGTATTCTATTTGGAAGAATTACGGATAACCGTACCGAATAAAGCTATTTTTTTGCATCGTCACTCTTATTCATATCTATATGTCTGCTCTACTCATTCTCCCAGACATTCGCATTTTTTAACGTTTTATGATTTGCACGTTACAGTACAAATGTGCGCATCTACCACACACGCAGGACATCAGTTCTGACTGGATCGCTTCCCAAATCGTCACTATCTAATATTTTCGTCTAGTTTTTATTCGTTGACGAAAATGTCAATAGATTTTCATCATAGTTTTTGTCATTCAAAATTAGTTTTTATTTAGTTATCGTCTCATTTTTGTCTGTGAAAAAATGTCGTTGACGAATAATTTGTGTCATTATTTTCGTCAACGAAATTAACACTGATTACAACCCAATTTCCAGAACTTTTGTTAAATGCAATAAAACCAAGAATTTGTGATTTGTTAATTTTCTTTAAACGTTATTTAACTGACAAAAGTGCAAAAAAAAAAAGATTTCCAATGTTTTCACTGATAAACTTAATTGTATTTTGTAAAGATAAAACAAATTTGGATTTTGATGGCTAAAACCTTGAACCGTTTGGTTACCAGTAAAGTGCATTATATGGAGAAAAATCCTTGAATGTTTTCATCAAAAACCTTAATTTCTTTTCGACTGAAGAAAGAAAGACATGGATATCTTGTATGACATGGGGGTGAGTAAATTACCAGCAAAAGTTTTTTTTTTTAAAGTGAACTACTCCTTTAAAGTGCAAGTAAATTTTGCACAAAAAACAAACAAAACAAATGCACTTCAAAGACACAAAGGTCACCCACCAGCCACAGTTGGATGAAGGTCGGTGTAACCGTTGCAACGATGAGGAGGCAGTACAGGAGTGAGTAGAGGAGGAAGAGCATGAAGAACTTATAGTTGGAGAACCCAATACAGTTATTCAGCCTGAACATGCAACAACACACAACATACACACGGAAGAGGAGAATAAGTGTCACTTTTTAAAAATGGCAACATTACTCATTTAAACAAATGTAACATGTTAAGTCTTGTCTGTGTACGTAAATAACCATTTTACTTCCTGAATGCAAGCTAATTAAATATCTAAGTAGCTATTTGACTTCCACATCCAATAGCCTGCACAGACTAAGCAACAACTGTGGAAAATAAAAAAATGTTTACAGGAAGAGTAAGTAACTAACCTTTGATTAACCATCACTAAGCTAAAGATTTATTCTTCAGAACAAAATACACCAATAAGTCACTCACAATAAACAGAAACATGAGTTTAGAAAGTAAACAGGGTCAATTTTAATTTAGTTTACAAACCAGGGGCAATGATGATCCATCTTCAGTACACACCTACAAAAAGAGAGAGAGAGAGACGCACCACAGGAGTGAAGTGCACAAGCCACAGGAACTATTCTCATTAAATAATAATAAAAACCCAAGTGTAATCAGACACACACACATAATCTCAACAAACACACACACCAAATCTCCACAAACACATATAGTCATTCTTTTTCTCCATTCCACTCGCCCTCTCTCACACACACTCAGACCTGGACTTTAATCAAAGGCAGGGAACCTGATATTGAAACTCATTTGAGAAGATTCACTGTGTCCACTCAAATAAACCAAGCGCTACAACAACATCCTGTAATTATCACACACACACACAGATCACATTTCAACGTCTCTCCCTTTCATTAAGGGAAGAGTGTGTAGATGAGTGGGAGATGCACTGATACGCACAAAGAAATGGAGAGAGAGAGAGAGAACAATTCTTACATTTGGCAGACAGAACAGTGATGGCAGCGATCTGGTTTTATCAATTGGCAGTGATGACAGAACCTGATAGCTGAGATGAACACACACAAACAACCAAATAAATAAATAACAGTTTCCATTTTTAGGAAAATGGAATCCTTTTTTGATAAGAGACTGTTATGTTTGTCATTATGTTGTATATCTTATAAGATAATTTTACATTAGGATTCAGACTTCAATCAAAAGCATATGTATATATTTGGTCACACTTCATTTTTGTTTCCAATTTTCACTATTACTAACTACAACTTTTGACTCAAACTCCTAATCACTGCTTATTAATAGTTATTAAGTTAGTTTTTAAGTTAGGTATTGGGTGAATTAAGGTATGTATAATATGGTCATGCAGAATAAAGCGTTAATGTGCTTTATAAGTACCAATCAACCGCTATCAATAGTGTTACCATATTGATTGGTAAGTGAGCTGGAATTTATTTTATTATTCTTAAAAATATATATTATCGGTTTCGTTTGTTGTTGACACATTGGTGTTATTGATCACTTGTCAAGTTGTCTACTTTGTATTAAAGTTTAAATGAATTAAAAAAATGATATTTCCTCATTTTCTTATCCTTATATTGCACCAAACCAGCATGACTCATTATGACTGTGTTCAGTTAGTCAGCATCATTATTGTTCAGATATTGTTCGTCAGTCTGCTGTGGGAGTGGGTATTGATACAGACTTTCCAATTCAATCTGATTCCAAATTTCCAAACTATTTCAGTTTTAATCTCCATTTTGCATCTATACGGTAGAAATTCTCTCTCTCTGCTAAAGCTGAATATTAAGGCAGTGTTTGATATTGATTAAAATGACAACTTGTCTTTGAAACATTCAATAAAACAATAAGCTCATAAGAGCCATTTGTTTCAGGATCTAAACTACACTGATACGGATGCATTTTTTTTTTCTTTTTATCACTAAAACTAAAGACACAGACCTGGAAATTTAATTTCTTTTGCCACAGTGCTGACAGATTCCCCTCTGTTACAAAGCAGAGCAGGAAACACTGATGCAGTGAACCTTCTAACATGATGAAGATGCTTTTCAATGAAAGACATTGAAAATCCACTAATTGCAGATTCAGTGTCTCTGGAGCAACCTAGAGTTCAGTGTCTTCCCTCAATTACATGATGCTGATGGAGCAGGTTCATGTTTACAGGTTCAGCGTGAATCGAGTTACATTTGGAGCTGGGGTTCAGTTTAGTTTGGAGATTTTATTTACTTTACATTGTCATGTTTCTCCATTATAGCACTGACAGGTTTCCTGACCTCCGGTTGCTTTACGTGTATGAACTGGAAGCTTCTGGGAGATTTCCAGAAGAATCTGACTCTTCTCCAAACTGCCATGTTCCTGCTCGAAGAGCAGCGAGTCTGAAGAGGAGAGCTGAAACTGAACACAGACATCCACACAAACACACAGACACACACACACACACACATACAATTAGTAAATTAGATAACGGTGCCCTGAGAGGGACAGGGGTTTCTTTTACGCTCATTTGTCACATATGACATGCCTGACTTGAATAACTTGCAAGTGGATGGGCTGACCCCCGTAAGAGCCCAAGTACCCTTGCAAAAAGTACTATCAGGTGTACTATAGTACACTGATGCAAGCCTGTAACCTTATCTTGAACATTTTGGAGGGAGTGAGAGAATCCCCCTAAATATTTGAAGGATTTCAAATAGAATTTATTATCTATTTGAATTATTTTTAAATAACACTCACAACATACAGCACTGACTAAAAACAAAAATTGTTGATCAAGGTGCACTATATCAAATAAAAATATAATTTAACACCATGTCCAACATAAATAACAGAACAGACATCACTAATCAACTACAATTAAAAGCCAAAGAAAAAAGATAGGCTTTGAGTTTTGCCTGAAACTTTATAAAAGAAAAATATATATTTATTTATTATAGTCTTATGCCTAATATGCCAAAACGGCTCTGTTAATGTTACATTTACATTTAATTTTGAAATCCTGAATTTTTTTTATTCAAAACAGTCAAATTTGGCATTAAAGTCAAGTCGTTTTCATCACTGAATATTACTGTTGGCCATTCAACATATTTAGCTATTTACATCGCACTTTCTCAAATGAAAAATCATACTGTAATTCATATTCTGCTTCTGTGGTCAGTAAAGCCTGCCTTCTTTAAATTGATTGGCCATCTCAATCATTTTGATATTGACAAGTGATGTCAGACCCATAAGGCCAAAAGTTAACTTTTAAAGGTGCCATATGTAATAATTGAGGTAAAATATCCCAAAAATGAGCTACACACATCAAAAGAATGAGAAGAAATAAGTGCAATGATGTCATTAAAAAACTGACAAGTTATAGTGCTGCCGAGATATAAACCTAAATTAGCATGCTAAATTACTAGCCCCGGCCCGGCAGGTGTCGTAATACCAGTTTCGGCCATGGGAGGCGGTATGCGGGCGGGCAACATAACCACCAGTCAAACTGCAATAGACGAGTAACGTTAACTCGTGCGGCTTGTGTGTACTTGAACCTGATGTCAGTCGTGTGGAAATACAGCCCACTGCTACATTTCAGTTCAGGGAAGAGTTCAAAAAAAGATTGGTCGACATTATGCATGAGGAATACATTTTGTTAAGTTGTAGCATACTGTATCTTTCAATAGTGTTCATGTTCTTTTTCCATTAGCTAGTAGAGACGATCGGTTCACGTCCGCTAGGGATCTGTGGTGTACCATGTACAAGCGCCAAAACGGTATTTATTGTTTGAATTGCGTAATAAAATTGACAGAATCTGAGAGCTTAACTAACCTGCTTGCTAAGCTAAGCAGCCGTAGGTTGTGTGGTAACCGGAAGTGACTTAGCTGGCTGAATTGGAATGTGGAAGAGAATGCGCATATAGCCTATTGCGTGCGTCTCACAGTGAATTCTTGAGAGTTGGCAGCTCTGAATGGCGCCAGCTTGATCATCATCAGTGAATGCTGTCTGTCAAATTAATTCAAACTAACAATAAAAGTGTAATATGAACAAAACAAATACCGTAAACTTAAAATAATTGCCCAGGCTTATATTTTCCATATCGTCGAAATGCACCAGCTTGTTTTTGAGACAGGCGTCTATGAGACGGTCTTCATCATTTAGTGTTGAGATGTTGTTCATTGAGTCTCTGATCTTTAAAAATCTCCAAATGCTCCACGTGAAACTGCGGTCTTCCAACTTTTTACTATCGTGTCAAATGATTTGAATAATATGCGCGAAAGAGAGCAAAACAACACTCGCTTGTGTTGTTTGAAGACGTGAGAGTGCGCGTGGCCGCGGCACAACTCACTTTCTGGAGGTATACTGCCCCCATCTGTTATGGAATATGGAATATGATTTGATTTTATGTGCCAGAAGGCACCTTCAAAACTTTTTTTTATCCTATGAATATATTTAACCATATCTGTTTATTGGGGGGACTTGTCCCCCTCAATGTCTACGGTGGTTAAGGTGGTAAAAAATAGTCATACTAGCTACTGTACTTAATTTATTTACTATAGTATTACATGGTAGTCTAAGTGACACTACGTCGAAAGTTTTTTCTGTGTACATAAAACACACGCCATTAAGCTTTTTTTTACCCTTTCCAAAAAGCCATATGTCCATTCTCCAGAACGTCCAGGGGAGGAACTTGTTTTTTTGGTTAAGAACTATCAATTTATAACGCTACTGTACCTCCACAGAAGGAGAGGATGGTGGAGTAGACACTGCTTTCCAAAATGACCACGAGAACATCCCAAAACACACGTGGAACAGGCAAAGGAATACCACTGAGAGAATAAGTACATTTACAATTAATCAGAATAGCAAGAAGCAAATGCCAAATTTATCCATTCAAACTTTACAACAGCATATTTTCACACAATAAATAGCACCACAAAGATTTCATACCTCTCTGAGTAGCACAGGTAAGCAGGACTGGCACACAAATATGAACAAGAATCATTCATAAGTTATAACATCTGATGTCATATCTACATTACTGAACAGTTTTAAATATATATTTATAAAAGGTGCTCAATGACTTTCCTAAGTAAGAGGGAGACCGGAGAGTCCAAATCACTACAATTGACCACACATGCTTCATTTGTCAGTCTACTGACTGACTAATACACACGCAATCTATTGTTTTTTGGATGGATTGATTGATTGTCAGTTATATGTACTGACGTCCATGAATTAAGCAATGGAGTAGTTTGACATTCAACAGGTAACGTTAAGAGATACTTGTTGATTTCAGAAATACTTAAAATGTACCAGTCAAATATAGTAGCATCATATAAAAGTTCAGAGAAACATAAAAAAAACCGAGTTAGACAGTGAAACAAGGCTAACGTTACATCTTTGGTCTCTCCTTCATTTTAATATCACGTATGGCCTTTTAATCCCACGAAATCAACAATTTTAATGATTTTGCAAAAATATTACTCACCCCAACAGAAGTGCACGACATAGGCGTAATATGACCACATCACAACCACGATAATGATCGTAACAGGGATCCAGTATAGCAGCCGCGCGCAGCGGCGCAGGCACGCGGGCAGAAGCATCAGCGTGACCGGCGCGAGACGCGAGTCTCTGAAGCATCTGTGTCTGGAGTAACCAGTCCATGTATAGTATGAAGCACAGTAATAAGAGAAACAGCGCCTACACAGGACACAACAAGCAAGTGTATCTTTTCTATCAAGCAAGTGTATCTTTATTTCTTTAATCTTATTACATCTACAAAGCAGTTGAACAAAGAACAATGCCATAACACAGATTGAGGTGACTTTTAAGACCTTTTCAAAACTAAATTATTTAATATGTAAACATAAAAAGTGTTGGCAAAGACACTAAGAACTGTCTTTTTGTATACAGACTTCTGAACCCCATTGTGCACAAAAGGACATACATATGCTGGATACATTTCAGCATACTCATAGTGGTATTGAGGTAGAAAAAGGTCTTGGACCTTTTTTATATCAAGTCAATATGCGGCTATGTATTTGCTTTTGAAACGGAGTAAACCACGTTGGGTTGGTTCAGCTGAAAGGTGATGCTGGGGTTGTTATAAACATCCAAAGCAGCAGAATGTTGGGCATTGCCTTGTTTGACAGGAAGTGGAGTTGAAGGCACGCTCTTGCTTGTATAGCCAACATTTCGTAAAGCAACAGCCTGCTGAGAGAAAGAGATTTTTAGCAGAATTTCTGTTTAATACACACACAAATACAGAATCCTTAAAGGTTAGAGATTAAACTGTACCAGTAAGTCCCGACTGGCTTGTCTGGAGGCGGCTTCATTGGAGATCTGTACAGCGGCCTGAAAGAGACAAATTACGAATGAGCTGTTGTAGAAATGTGACACACGCAGAATGAAGGCTAGTGAGTGAATATGCATCAACATGATGCATACAGACAATTTTAACTTTCATAAAGGTCAGGCTTGTGTAAACCAGGTTTGGGCAACCCCAATCTTTAAAACCGCCTTAAGAAGATAAAGCTCACAGAAAATACAATAATTGCTTTTAATGTCTCAGTTTTTGATCACCTCTTTTTTTGCACAGAAATTAAATTTCTGCCTAGTAGGGCCTTGAATAGCTGGTTTGGGTGTGTTTAATTGAGGTCAGAGCTAAACTCTGCAGGACAGTGGCCCACCAGGAGCAGGATTGAACATCCCTATTCTAGAAGTGTAAATTACCAGGGTTGTGATGTGTACCACTGGGGGCACTCTGTACCACAGTTTAAAACCACTGACTTGCAATATGTACCTTCTTTTCTGCACGGTATTCATCCCAGGCTGCTCTGCGCTCTTCCTCACTCAGCTCCTCTTCCTCCCGGTGGTCTAACAATGAGTTGTGCTCATGATAACTTACTATGAGCTGCTCACAGCTCTGCAGCAGCCGGACCAACACCTCATCCTGATCAAAATGAAGACAAAGCCTTGTGGTCATAATCATCTCATGTACCCACATCTGTGTGTGTTGTACAACAGCAGGTCCATGTAAGCGTGTTTACCGCAGGCGTTTCTGTGTGTTTACTGGGCCGTAGGTCTGGCTGGAAGTGGTACAGCTCGTTCAGCTGGCTTTGCGTGAAGTGTCTCTGAATCTGCTGCTCGTCCAGAACACGGGAGGACAGAGACTGCTTAGCAACCTGCCGCTCATAAATGTTCTGTTCCATCGTCCCCTGCACACACATTAAAAATGTATATATAAAAAATATAAAATATACAGTACCCGTCAAAAGTTTGGAAACATTTAATGGTAATAATGACAACAAATTTTATGTTTTTGAAAGAAGTCTCTTATGCTCACCAATATGCATTTATTTGAATAAAAATACAATAAAAAAACAGTAATATTGCAAAATTGTATTACAATTTAAATTCTATTTGACTGTTTTAAAATGTAATATTCCTGTGATTCCATTAGGGTCACAGTCTTCAGGGTCTGATTGTCTTATTTTTGTTGAAAATAGCTGTGATGTTTTGCTTAACATTTTTGTGGAAACTGTGTAATTTCCCCCCCCACAGGAATACATTTTTTTAATGTATTCAAATAGAATACAATTATTTTTAATTGTAATTTTTCTGAATATTACTATTTTTACTGTACTGATTAAATAAATGCAGCCTTGGTAAGCATAAGAGATTTCTTTCAAAAGCATTAAAACATTGCAATGTTTTCCAAACATTTAACAGGTACTGTATGTATGGTATACAGGTATGTACATATTTAAACTACATTATATATTAAAATATTTTACTCTCAAAATAAAAAATAATTAAACTAAGACAGTCCTCACCAAGTAATAAAATCTTCATGAATGGGTTAAAAATGACTTAAATAGTGCCTGTAATTGGGTTTTTTTTTAAATTCATTTTAATATTTTTTTTTATTAAATATGAGAAGTCCTCCCAAGTATGTGTGATTCTATGTGCATACCTGAGCCAGAAAACGGTACACAGCTACAGTTTTTTTCTGCCCAAAGCGATAGACTCTGAAGATGCTCTGGATGTCATATGATGGATTCCAGCAAGCGTCAAACACCACGACTCGGTTTGCAGCAACCAGATTTATTCCTAGAGACCCCGCACGAGTGGAGATCAGAAACAACCTCCCTCTGGCACAGAGGAAACACCAAGAGTAAGGACAAGAAATCCAGAAAACTTAAATATAATGTTTATTAGCATTTTGTGTGACGTACCTTATGTTTTTAGTGTTGTTAAACTCTTGAGCCCATCTCTTGCGAGCAGAAGGACTAGTGGTGCCGTCCAAACGATAATAATCTTTATTTCTTACCCATGATTTCTTTCCTGCCAATACACACAAACACTATTGTATACAATGAACAAATGACGGCGCTAAGAATCCCGTGTATAAACTGTTTTTACCTTTGTATGGACACCCTTCCTTCCCGCTGGTCTCATCTGCATATAGGAGGAAACTCTCAATAAGGTCCAGTGATATCAGAGATTGACTGAACACCAACCTGAACAAAAGCAAACAGAATTCATTCATGTGTCAAACTTAGTCACTATTAACAGTTAACATGCAACCGTTTAATGCACAATAACGTTTAAAAATACAGTAAAAACAGCAATATTGTGAAATATTACAATTTAACTTTTTAATATTACATATTTAAAATGTAATTTATTCCTGTAATGGCAAAGCTGAATTGCTCCAGTCTTCAGTGTCACATGATCCTACAGAAATCCTTCTAATAAGCTGATTTGGTGCTCAAGAAACATTTATTATTTCTAATTATCATTAATGTTGAAAACAGTTGTTCTACTTAATTTTTTTATGGAAATTGTCATATGTTTTTCAGGATTCTTGAATGAATATATTCCAAAAGAACAACATTTATTTGAAACAGAAAGCTTTTACAACAGTCTTTACTGTCACAGTTTTAGGCATTCTTGCTTGATTTCTTTCAATGAACCAAATATGAATATGAACCAAAACAGCTTATAACAAGTTCCTCACACTTTGTCTTCTAGTTCCTCTGCCCAGTGTAAAATCTCCAGTAGCAACTGTAATTTCCCAGAATGCTCCAGCACCTTGGCATCAGCTGCTGTTACGAACGGCAGATACCACTCTGCAGTAGACAGAGACACTAAAAGTGAGACAGACATACAGACAAAGAGAGACAGATTCAAAGAAACAGAGAGAGGGAGACTGTGTAGATGTACCAGCTTCCCCACCAGGAATTTCCACTGTGGGTGTGTTTGTGACATCTGGCTTTTGTTTGGACCCACAGACTGAGGAGACTGGATCAGTATTTCCCTCTCCATCACCCAAGAACCTGTGATCATTGCATCTCTCCTATGAGACAGATGGTGGAAACATCAGAACAAACCTGGTCTTCTAGCAGGTCCCATACATAACTGTGTATTACAAATAAAATATGTTCTGGCTGGTTGTGATTGTGTCATTCAAATAGCAAGTAGTCTTGCAACTGGTAGTCTTTCATTTTCAAGTAGTCTTTCATTTACCAATAGTTTCCAAAACAAACTGTTCTCAAATTACTTTTCTATTCAAAGTCACTCTAGCATTGATGTGTGATATTTTACAAAAGCATAAGAAACATTATTGGTATAGAAAAGACTGAAATCTGATAAGACACCGCATACCTTTCAGAGCCATTTGGCTGTACAGAATCTCTCTCCAAACCTGCATCCAGCCCTGTGAAGACGGGAGCAGGCTCTTGCACTTTTCCCTGCAACACACACAGAAATGTTTTTTGAAAGAAAATGTTTTTTTGAAAGCCTCTTATTCTCACCAATCCTACATTTATTTGATCAAAACGACAGTAAAAACAGTAACATTCAATAAATAAATATGATTATTTCAAATAAGTTTTCTATTTGAATAGATTTTGAAATGTCATTTACATTTCAGCATCGTTACTCCAGTCTTCAGTGTCCCATGATCCTTCAGAAATCATTCTAATATGCTGATTTGCTGCTCAAGAAACTTTTCTTTTTATTGTAAATGTTGAAATCACTTGTGCTGCCTAACATTTGAAAGTTCAACAGAACAGAATTTATTTGAAATACAATTTTTTTTTTAAATGTAAGTCTTTACTGTCTTTTGATCAATTTTATGAAACCTTGCTGAATAAAAGCAATAATATCTTTAAAAAAAATCTTACTGGCCCCAAACTTTTGAACAGTAGCGTATCTGGATGAGTAAATGTTTACCTTATTCCTGCACAGCTGAGCAAGTTTAAGACACCAGGGATGAGTCCAAATCAAACTCAGAACATGAAGATCCTGAAACAAACTGTTCACACCTGCTCCTTTCCCTAAAATAAAGACACTGGTTGTGATCATTTGCATACTATCAATTTGTTAGTGCAGAGTGCTTGTTAGAATTAGATGACAAAATGAATGCAATGTTCGAAATTAAAATCGAAAACGTGTGCATCACATCACCATTTAGCAATTATTAGGCAATATTTAATTGTGCATGCTAATTCTTTTCTTAAATTTTTGCATTTAGATATTTAAACTTAAAATTCATTTATACAACACAATTTAACAGTGTTTAATCTCAAAATATACATGTTTGTACATTATAATGCAATGATACTTAAATTAAGCATTTCAAATGTATTAGAGAAAAATAAGCTTAATTTCAATATGAGCCATACCATGAAAACAAAATATTAGGTTAATCTCTACAGGTTGACACTTTTCTACGGTTACAGTATTAGTCTGGCTCTAGTGTGTGCTTTTGAGACTCTTACCTTTGTAGGTTTGCAGATAGTGTTTGTATAACTGACACTGCAGAGGTGTCATCCTGACTGACAGCACATACTCGCGCTTGGGCGGCAAACAAGACCTCAAAACTGAGTAGTCCCGCCTCTGCAACACAAACACAAATCATCAAATACAAAACATTTAGCCTTTTTTTTCCACAGCCTCTAGCTCTATTCTCGCTCTCTCTCTTCATCACCTGTATGAATCCTGTCATCATTTGATGGAGGACGTGCGA